TTCCCTCAGCCTGTAAAAGTCCTTGGTCTTCACCCCTTCTTTATCTTACATCCTTGACAGTCTCAAACATGATAGGACTTTCACTTTGAAGGACATTTCTACATTTTACAGGGAAGGGTAGGGAGTATGGGAGAGTCTGCATCTTGTGTAGCCTTTGGGTCAGGGCCACAGGCCCAGGGCTTCTGGCTGCAGGCCCTTTCAGCAGGGCCTTGCAGGTGTGAATGGCTCAGTTACTGAGGCATTGGCAGCAAGCATGTCTTTCCTGCTCAGGTTGAGGACCCCAACAAGGTCTGGTTCCACACCTGTCAGAGCCTCAAAAAACTTGGTGGGTGAGAATATCCTTGCCAGACAGGCGGAGGGTTGGGAACCTCCCTGAGCTCTCCTGGGTGGCTGGGGGTGCTGTGTCCTGCGTATCACCTCTGCCAGAGGGCTTTGTGGGCCCTCGACGTTGTCTTTTCTGAATTCCTTGCTGCTGGGAGTCAGGAATGTGTTCCCTCCGCCTCCTCGGAACACTGTGCCTACTGGTATGATGGTGTGAGTGGCTGATAGTGCCGTCACACAGCACAGCACGCATCCCTCCTGAGTCTGATGAAGACCATCAGTGAAGCTGACCTCATATTTTTGTGAACAGTTATCTTAGGATAGTCTTTCAGTACCTTTGCCTTTCAGTGCTGGTGCAAATACTTGTCACAGTGGGAACTCCACTGTGACAAGTGGGGAGGCTCACTGGAGCCCCCGCCTAGCCCACCTCCCTGGACAGGCAAAGTGCCCTCCTCTGCAGTGCTGCTGCAGACTGCCTGGGTCTGGGGGTGGGGCTTGCCTGGGTTTAATAGAGCACATATTCCTAGTAGTCTTCCAGAGTGGGACTTCCCTGAAGTCTGGCTGATTGGAAGCTGTCTGTCTTGGTCCATTCTGTGCTGCTATAACAGATTGCCGTATTCTTCCCTGTCCTCAGTTTCTCTTTCCAAGGTGTCAGTTACCCTTGGTCAGCTGTGGTCTAAGATCTTAAATTGAAAATTCCAGAAATAAATACCAGTTTTAGCTTATGCGGTGTTCTGGGCAGCATGACTGGAGCGCCCCCTCGCTCCACCTGCGCTCACCTGCCGTCTGCCCATCAGATAGACTGACAGGGGCTTGCCACTTGTGTTCAGCCATGGCCTCAAAGCCAAGAACACTTCGGGTGTGTCAGAGAGAAGCTGTGAGAACTGTTGTATTGTATCCTCATTTGTCGCTATAAACCTTTTACTTTGTGTAATATATAAATTAAACTCTAATATATGTATGTACATGTAGGGAAAATCACAAATTAAACTTTGCCATACGTGTGTACATGTAGGGAAAGCCACAGTATGCACAGGGCTCAGTATACTATGATTCCAGACATCCACTGGGGGTCTTAGAACATGTCCGCATAGATAAGGGGAGTCTATTGTAGTTCTCGCCTAGAAATAGCGCCCCATGCTTCCTGGAAAGAAGGTGGATTGTTCTAGAACATCTTTTTTTTTTTAATGAATCTTTTTGGCAGCCTTTTTTTTAGAGAGGGAGAGAATTTTAATATTTATTTTTAAGTTTTCGGCAGACACAACATCTTTGTTGGTATGTGGTGCTGAGGATCGAACCCGGGCCGCATGCGTGCCAGGCGAGCGCGCTACCGCTTGAGCCACACCCCCAGCCCCTGTTCTAGAACATCTTGAGGCTCAGTCTGAGTGCAGAGGGCCAGCATAACAGAGTTCCCTGTGGGGGAGAGTTCTAGCTTGAAGTGCCCCGGGGTGATGAGGGACAGCTAGGAAATAACCCAACGTAACAAGGACATGTCCCCATGTCAGCATTGTCTGGGATCCTGTCACAGTGAGAGAGCAGTTCTGTGCCAACATGTGGCATGACTAGCTGCTCAGAAGTTGAACTTTTGGTGGAGTGGCTCAGTGGTAGAGTGCTTTGGGACACACAAATAAAATTAAATTCAGTGGTTCGACTTTTAGAGTGATTCCCCTCCTTGACCTCACAGCAGCCGACTGGCATTCGTGTGGAATGGCATTCTCTGTGGACAGGTTCCCGGGGCTGGGCTCCTGTGTGGACAGGGCGAGCTGCTGGTGTGGATAGTAGTTGGTGAGCCTATCAGTGCTGGTGTCCCTGGTGTCTGTGTGCACAGTGGTCCCGTCAAACTAGGAGAGTGGACACTCAGTTCATGTGGAGCAGCAAAAACAGCAGGAGTACAAAGACTCAAAGAAGAATGTTGAGGAGTGGTCCCACCATATGAAAACAGTTAAACGCCGAGGAGAATGTTCTGTTTCCATTTATTGTTATTATTATTATTATTATTATATTTATTTATTTGCAATCCTGGCCTGTAGTGAGCTGCGTGTGTCATTCATTCATAGGTGTTTGGGATGGATGTGGAGATGGTGTGCCCTGTGGACACATGGCCCTTTATCCCCAAGTGACCCGGATTCCGTCTGCCTCCCGCCCACTGCCCCAGCAGCCCCTGACCTGCCTTCTGTCCCTGTCAAGGCTCTGAAAGTCAGATTGTACAGAACCTGAGAAAACAAGCAGTGGACCCCACGAGACAGTCCACACACAGGCCCAATAATTAAGGGGGATCTGTTGTATGATAAAAGATGGCATTTCAGATCCATAGGGGAAAAGGTAGACTATTCATTAAAAAGTGGTGACAGTTGGTTAGCTATCTGGAGAACAAAATATACCAAATAAGCCAAATTTGAGGCAGATCCAACATTTAAATCTAAAAGGAATAGATCCACAGATTACTGTAAGAGACCCCAGGACGCTCCTAGAGCCTCAAGTAGGGGAAGGCTTTTCCCAGTATTTCCAAACCCAGAAGCCACTTCCAAGAAAAGATTCAGAAATATAAAAAATTACAAAATGTAAAAATAAAAGCTTCTACATGCCATAACCTTAACGTTGAAAAAAGTTGAAACTTATATCACAGATAAAAGGTTAACTTCTTTTATATAAAATTACTTTCTATAAATCAATAAGAAAAAGACCACAATTCAATAGAAAAATGAACAGGGGAGTTTAGAAGTCATTAAATAAGAATGGTTCCTAAACATGTGAGATATTCTAACTCACTCTAAATAAAATTAGTTTAAATTACAATTATAACAGAAAAGCCTTTGGGTGTTACAGGGACAGAGTCTAGAAGTTTGCCAACACTGTGCTCGTGAGGGTGCGGGAAGGAGATGACCTTGGTGTTGCTGGTCAGGTGTCAGTAGTAATTCCCACAGCGGGCAGTTTGGCAATGGCCAGTCAAGTATGTGTGCATGCTGCCTCTGACCAGCATTTCCCATCCAGGTGTACAGCTCAGAGACGGTTGGGGGCAGGTATTGTGAGATGTGTGTGGCTGCGTTTGTAACAGCAAAGTTGAGACTGCCCTTCTGCAGGGATGGGTTAAGTAGCTACCACACACCTGGGAGATGGGGTACAGGCAGCCTTCGCAAAGAACAATGTAGCTCTGTCTGCAGTGCAGAGATCTGGGATGCCGTGTGCTGCTAGGAGAAGCCAGGAGTCTGTCTATGCAGAAGAAGACATTAGAAATGTCCAAAATCACATAGTACTTGAAACTTCCGATGTGGCAAGAAAACATATTTTTGTTTAGTCTCATCCTCTGGGTGAGTATGTTAACCTATTTCTTTACTAAATGGTTTGTGTTTGCCACAGAACTGTGCCTCAGGAGTGGGACTATGCCTGGTGCTAGGTGCTGAGTTCTTGCTGTCTTTTAATGGTGGTGCTACTGTGTTTTCTGTTTGGTTGTCTGCAGTGCTGGGGATGAGCCCAGAGCCTCACCATGTTGGGCCAGTGCTGCAGCCCTGAGCTACACCCCAGCCCCTGTGTTCTCTCCTCACAGGGCCGTCCTACCATGTACATAGCGAGGCTTCAGAGTGGTCTGGGGGATGACTGGGTGGGTATTTCCACATTTCAGAGAAAGCAAAGGCTGCGAGGTTTAGCTTGTTGATTTGCCAAGCACACGGGGCTGAAAGGACAGCCGGGTGAGCAGCTCTCGGTTCTTCAGTGGGTACTCACTGGTCCTGGTTTCTGGGATGATGGTACCCTTTCAGAGTCCTGGGCAGGAGGAACACAGGCCTCAGGTGATGTGGCTGCCCAGCCTCAGATGTGGCATTGAGAAACTTGGAAAGATGATTCTTAATGCTCTGGAGCAGAAATATCTTCACCCATAAGGAGAGGAGGCCTATTCACAGAGCAGGTCAGAGGCAAGCCTAGCATGTGATAGAGGTGGCATGTTGTGGCTGCAAATGTGAGGCCAGCAGCCTCGGAGCCCTGTTCATGGCGTGTCCCTGTTGGACAGTGACACACCTAGACGAATCCAGGTCCAGCCTTCTGTGAAAATCTGGCAGGAGCTACCGGCCTGTGCCCCAAATGCACCTAACATTCAAGGTGCAACATGCTGCTTTGGTGGCCTTTGGTGGCCTCATCCATTCCCAGGAGTCTAGCCACATGGCCTCAGGGCTTCGGTACCCCTGATTAGTATGTTGAATTACTTTCAAGATGTTTTTGTAGGGATCTCCTCTCAAATGTGTTTCTGACCACTTCTTCCCTCCTGAAGGCAAAGAGAGGGGCTTTGCCTCTCGATGGCAGAGCGCCTGTCCACATGGTGCGGCTGGGCCCCAGCCCAGCAGCACGTGCACAAGAAGACTAGATCTGGCTCTGCCCTGTTTTGGAGAAGTGGAGTTTGTTTGTTTCTTATATAATGGAAATTGTGACACTGTTCATTTCTTCTTTTCTCTAACCAGAGAACAAGGTCAGTAAGCCTTCGACTAGCTAAGCTCCTGGTGCAAGTGTAGGACCTGGAATTAATGCCCCTCTGGACCCAGCCCTCTCACGCAGTCCCTCCCCCGGTGGGCTTTGGTGGCCTCATCCACCCCAAGCGGCCTTTGGTGTGGAGAAGTGCATTTGTGGGGCGCCTGCCTCTGTGGTTCCAGTGGGGTCTTGGGCTCTAACATGCTCATCCGGTCCTTCTGCAGATGAAGGTGTCACCTGCTTCACTGGCCAGTCTGTATGAAGAAGATTTTAAGCAGGACATGGCAGCCCTGAAGGTAAAGTGTGTGGTTGGCTTTTCTTTCCATGAGGAAAGTGTGCTGGGACTGTGAAGGGCAGCAGTAGCTGACCTATGTGTTCCAGAGCAGTCCAGTCTGAGTGTATGAGGACTGGTCCCAGTGTGCCACTGTGAGACCGAAGGAGGCCGACAGACCCAGGATCGCACAGGGTGCAGTTCGCTGGGGCTTACAGGCAGCAGCATGATCCTGTGCAGCAGTAGATGAGTTGGATTCGTGCAATTTGGGTCAGAAAGGGGCATATTTATGGATTAGGACAAAAGTGACTTCATCCTGGTTAGAGTGGACCTGGTTGGTCATAAACTAATAGAGTTCCTGGTGCCAGGGTCCAGTTGCAAAGTCCCACGCACCACTTACGGCTTTGTTGGTCTATACTCTGCTGGGAAACTTTGGGCAAAACCGACTGGGGCTGCTCTGAGGCAGTCATGGAGTTATGACTCAAGCATGGCTGTGGTTAGGTCGAGCTGAACCCTATGCTGTGATTTAGAACAAGGGAAACATGGTTGTGTGTCTGCTTTCTTCCAGGTTCTCCCTCCAACAGTGTACTTGAGAGTAACTGAAAACATTCCTCAGATAATCTCGTTCATTGAAGGAATTATTGCTCGTGGGTGTGCCTATCCAACAGTAAAAGGTAGGCTTTATGTTATCAGAACTGGTCACTGAGTAATGCTGTCGGGGTTTCAAGAAGCTGGACACATCCAAGTTGTGGAATAGGCTGAGTGCTATATTGTCTGTCCTGCAGCAAAACTGTGCTGGGGTTGGTCTGGGTTATAACTCTTCAGTAGAGCACATGCCTGTCAATCCCCCACATTGCAAAAAAAAAGTTCTGGGATTTCCCACTGTGTGCGTCTCCCCACGAAACTCTTCGTTTCCCTACCCCAGGAGAAGATGGGCCTGGAGAGCTGGTCTTGTACCAGTTTGGAATCTATGGGAGGTCTACAGGCATTCATTGTGGTCTTCTTTCAGCTTAGCTTTGTATAACAAAGCTTGGGGACAAGAGCAAGACCTCCGAGACATGTCCTTCATGTTAGAGTTTATCCCTGGGCCACTCTCTCCATAGGTACAAGTTAGTTGCCTGTGACACCTCAGCAAGCAGAATCTCTGAATGAAAGGTGCCCAGGGTGTAGTCAGACTGAGATTCTAAGTCCCTGTTAATTCTGGCTTTAAAATACAGCAAAAGGGGTCAAGTGAAGGATGCCATCTTCTGTATTTAAATTCTAATAACTCGTTAGATATCAACCTTGAGAGATGCTGATATTTCAGACAAGAAGTGATGAATGCCCAACTATCTCGTGAAACAGGCAACGTCTACTTTGATCTGCAGTCAAGAGGAGACAAGTATGGCAGACTGGTCGGCGTGGCACCTGGGCCTGCTGGAGAGCCAGGTGGGTGCCGAGCTTGCCCTCTGGGCCCCCAGCCTCAGCCTCACGTGGGTTCCAGAGAGCAAGGTCTGAGCTGGGCCTTGACTTGCTCAGAAATGGTGACATGGGCCCTGCCTGATCATGGCGTGTGGCGTTCAGCAGCAGGTGCAGCGGTTCCACCTGGCCCTGCTCTGAGAGCCGAGCTGCTCACCCACTCTCCTGTTCCCCTTGGTGTTCGTGGCGTGATAGGTACATTTCGACACTCCTTTGGCTTGCTCCCGTCATGTACTGAGTCCCCACCAGCACACTGGGATCTGTTATGTGCTGTCTCCACTCCAGACTAACAAGCAGAAACCCAAAAGATAAGTTGTCCAAGATAGCCAGGTGTACTATCTTCTTGTCCTGAAGACTGCCATTTAAACCTAATTATTGTAGCATTATTTATGTGACTTCTCAGAAATTGTATTTGTTACCTTTACCCTGCTCCCTCCATAGGGGGGCTACGAGCAGGTGTTAGGGTACCTTCCGGGTACAGGGATTTGTGAGAGTTATGCATTCTAGTATCAGCTGCAATCTTTTATTTTATTTTGATGGACTTTATTTTTTATTTGAGCTGTTTTGGGTGCACAGCAGGATTAAGTGTAGGCTTCAAGAGTTGCTATGACCTCTTCCCCTGCAGCGGCTGACCCTTGCCCATTGCCAGCATCACCACCAGAGTGTCCATTTGTCACAGTCACCCAAGGGCATAGCTTAGAATCCTCCTAGTGCCATGGGTTCTGTGGATTGGACAGATGCAGAGATGGCATGGCCCAGCAGTTATGCCTGTACACCTCTGCCCTGTGCACCCTCCCTGGTGACTGCTGGTCTGTCACTCCCTCCACTGCTTTTCCAGTGTCCCAGAGTCGAAATCTTGTGGTCCAAGCTTTTCAGATTGACTTCTTCCTCTTAGTCATACACATTCTGGTTCCCTCTGCATTACCAGGGCTTGAGGGTTCATTTTTCTTTGATACTGAATAATCTTCCATTGTCCAGGTACACTGAGATTTTTTTTAATCCATTCATTCCCTAAAGGACGTCTTGGTTGCTTCCAGGTTTTGGCAGCTGTAATTAAAGGTGCAGTGAACACCTGTGCACAGGTTTTTGTTTGTATGTAAGTTTTTAGCTTCAGGTTAATTCCAAGGAGTGTGGTTGCTGGATCATATGGTAAGACTACATTTGGTTTGTAAGATACTGCCAGATTGTCTTCCAAAATGGCGAGCCAGGTGTACTCCCACCAGCAATGAAAGGGAGTTCCTGAGCCAGGTGCAGTGGTGCATGCCTATAATCTCAACAACTCAGAGCTGAGGCAGGAGGATCACAAGTTCAAGCCTCAGCAACTTAGTGAAAACAAGCTGGGGATGTAGCTCAGTGGTAGAGCACTTGTCTAGTGTGCATAAGACTCTGGGTTCAATCCCCAGTCCTGCCCCACCCCCCAAAAAAAGAATATAAGAGTTTCTGTTGCTTCACATTCTTGTTGCAACACTTTTTAAAATTAAAATTGTTTTCTAATACAAAAGCAAATATGAAAATACAAAATTAGAGTATAAGTTTATACAAAACAAAGATAATATATGTATTCATCTTTGCACACAAATGAAAACTGTGTTCTTGTTTTTTGTACTGGAGATTAAATCTAGGGATACTCTACCACTGAGCTACACCCCAACCCTTTTTATTTTTTATTTTGAGATAATAGCACAGGGCCTCACTAAGTTGCTGAGACTGGCCTCAAACAGTAATCCTCCTGTCTCAGCCTCCTAAATCACTGGTATTACAGGTGTGCTACTGTGCCCAGGATGAAAAAAATTCTAATGTTTCAGTATATGTCATTTCAGAAGCAAAAGGGTTTTAACGTCTCAATTGTTGTAATAACCCAATGAAAAATAACATAGACTTATGCCCAGCTTAGTGGCGTGTTGGGTGGAGGCTCCTTGGTCATCTCTGGTGAAGGGATACAGCAGTGGCACCAATCTAGAGACCCCAGGGCCTGTGTGTTGCACCCCATCCCAGCCCCGCCTGCCCTTAGGAGCAACCACTGGTCTATGGCAGTGTCACCTCCTCACCTTTCTGAGCAGGGTCCCCGCACTCTGATGAAGCTGAGCTGTGCTCCATATTCACATCCTCTGGGGTGTTTCTGGCCTCTGTGTCCCTCCCTCACTTGCCCCACACAGTGCACGAGAGGAGTGTCCCGTGGCCCCTTTCCTCAGTGGGACTTTGTAATGGGCAGTGGGATCCAGGAGCCTACTCTGGTTATCAGTCTGCAGGTGGAGACTTGTAGATGGTCCTTATTCCCCTCGGGGCACCAAGGGTCTCTGCCTCTGGTTGGGTCCCCTCTGCTGTGCTAGGCACAGGTGCTTGTCACAGAGCTGCCACACAGCTTGTCCTCGTTCATCTGTGGAATGCTCTGTGTGGACAGGTTGCCGCCTGGTGACTCCATGCACAGTCTTTGTGGAGCTGGTCTCAGTGTTGTCCTTGGAAGGTGACCTGTGAGGGCTGGCTGTGTCTGAGTCGCTGGGAACGCTCTGTCTTAGGTGTACATGCTGCATTTCAGTGCTCTGCCCAGGCCTCTTTCCTCTGTGCCACTCAGCGCGGGCGCCCCAGGTCTGCACTCAGCATTGGCTGTCTGGTGCCGTCCAGCTCCATTTGCCCATCTTCCCACGTCACCCTCGCCCTGGCCGTGTTTCTGGCTCACCATGTCACCCCGCCCTGGCCGTGTGTCTGGCTCACCTCCCAGGAACTTCTGAAGGAAGAGCCCCTCTGGGAGCAGTTTTCTGAGCCCACGCCTGTTGGCAGGTGGCCGTTCCCCCCCACGTTAGCCTGGCTGGAGGTAAAACCCATGGCCAAGGTGTCCCCTCACACCTCCACCTGTGTCCCGTGTTCTCAGCATAGCCCGCTGACATTAGGGCAACAGCTCTCTCCATTTCCTGGGCCCCGGGCATGAATCATTCTACCTGCTTGGTTCCCAGAGGACTTTCCTTTGTCTTTGAAGTCTTGTCGGGAACAGTTGGCATGTTCCAGAGTCCCATTGACCCTGACAAGGGTCTGGTGTTTGCTCTGAGGAAGCCCGCCCTCCTGGGGGCTTTCACGGGCTCGACATCACACCTGCCTCAGCACTCGCGGGCAGAGGGGGAGTCACGGGGTGCTGCACCAGTGGAGCCCCCTTGAGGTCAACAGGGAGGTAGCGCTGGGGGGACACAGGTGACCTGGCCCAGAGTGGGCAGTCTTACACAGAATGTCACTGCTTGGGCACCTGCTGTGTCACCTGATGTGACAACACACCCTGTGACCTGGATAAAAGGTGGCCCTTCCTCTTCAGGGGACTCGTCAGAGCATCCAGATGGGAGCACCAGGAGCACTTTAAGCAACCAAAGGGCGAGTGAGCTGGCACAGGCCTCCCTCAGAGTGGCCCCGCTGGCCTGCTCCTCCACGGCTAAGCAGCTGCGGTCAGAGGTTCTGGGCCCCACTCGGACAGAGAGTTGCGTTGCAGGAAGTGCAGTTTCATCTGAGCCACCTTCACGTTGCCGGCATTGCTTTCTGCACCGAGGGGCCTGTCGTGGCCTCTGGCCAGCTGCTCCCCTTACCCGAGTGCCTGGCCACCCTCTTCTCCACTAGTCTCTGGATTTCTGTCTGTGGCTCTGTCTTCACTTCGACCTCCTGCAGGGTGGCCCCTGCCCTTCCATGCTGCTGGTCCTGCTCTCCAGCCTGCAGCCACCAGTGGCACTGCTGTGCTGTGGCTGTGTGACGTTTGTAAGTGGAGACGGTTGAGGCAGTGAGAGCCACGAGGCAGTGAACTGGAGCGGACCTCAGCACTCGTCAAGTGCAGAGTCTGTAGGAGTCGCTGAAGCGGGTGGGCGTCCTGTGGGAAGCATGCCGTGTAGGGGCGCCCCACGAGTCGGGGGTGTTCTCCAGTCTGAGACACGAGGCACATGCTACGGGGACTCCGGCATGACTTTGGACACAGCATCAGTCTTCGGCCGGACTTCCCTTCCTTACCGTGCGGTTGGCCCTGGGTGATTTCCTTTGCACACTGTGATTGTCGACATTTTTGGAAGAATTATTCTGAAATTCAGTCTCTGACAAATAGGCTTCCTCAAGGAGAAGGAGGGACCCACGCCTCAGCTCGCACGCCCTGGTCGGCCTTGCTTGAGGACGCCCTGGTGGCTGGCTCTGCCACCCCGTCCCCTGGTGGAAGACTCGCTAGTCCTCCATCCCTCAAGGGGAAAGAGCCAGGTGTACAGCGGGAAACTGAGGTGTTAGGAGGAACGGGGTCTTTGGGATGTGCACGCGCCATCTCACTAAGGTGCCTTTGGTGGTTCACATCGGCCCCGCTGATTAACCATTTGTCATTGGCAGGGGACTCAGACAAGCGGCACGCTAGTGACTTTGCCCTGTGGAAGGCAGCTAAGCCCCAGGAGGTGTTCTGGGCCTCGCCCTGGGGGAACGGCAGGCCCGGCTGGCACATCGAATGCTCCGCCATGGCCAGGTAAGGCTCCCGGGGCTGCGCCTGGCCGAGGACATGGGTGGGAGCAGGGAGCCAGCACAGCCTGGGTGGGCAAGGGCTCCCTTGGCATGACAGCTGCGAGGGAGGAGGGGAACCGAGCCAGGGCTGGCTGGCTTTCCACACAGCGGGTCCTCTTTCTAGGAAAGGCTGCCCTCCGGCGTCTTCTGGGTTTCCTTCACTCACCCCAGGTTACCTTCTTCTGTGGCCCAAGCACGGGGTGTCCCCGTGTGTGGAGCCAGAGCCCTGGGGCAGGAGGCCCTCAGCCAGCCCGTGGCACCTTTGGAAATGTCCTTAAGCATTTAGGAACACCTATTCTGGGCTCCTCCTGTCCCTGAGCAGTGCCATTGAGGCCCCGAGTGGCACTGCCGCCTGCTCTGCCGTTCCCGGCCTCCGTCTCGAGGCAGAGGTGGCACCGGGAGTCAGCCCTCCTGTGAGGCTAGGCACACCCAGCCTCGCTTCCCCGCCAGCCCTGGTAGCTCACTGTGTAGGTGTGCAGGTTGGAGGCCGGGTGAGCGGAGCCCAGCGGAGCCACAGAGCTGGGGAGGCTGATGGACTTTTTCATCTGTGGCCATTAGTTACAGTTTCAAAACTGAATGAAAAATTCTCCTGATTTCATAGTTCTAGCTCTTGGGGAAGTTGGAAACCCACTAAATCTCCCTATGGACAGTAAGAGAAGGTAATTTTGTAAGTTTTTTTTAACTGTATGTTGAACCTGGAGCAAAGAGAATTCAGTCTCTGCACCAGGATGAAAAGCTGTGAACTGGGGACTTGTGGCAAAATTTCAGTTTTCCCTGCTGCCTTCACACACCTCAGCATGCCAGTTGGTTTGTGTTGACATGCGTGGGTTCGGTGGCAGAGAGAGGCTGGAGGGACTCGGGGTGAGAAGTGGTTCGGAGGACACGTTACGTGAACAGTCCCTGCTCCGCTCCATCTTGCAGCATGGTGTTTGGAGGTCAGCTGGATATCCACTCAGGTGGGGTGGACTTAGCGTTTCCCCATCACGAGAACGAGATTGCACAGTGTGAGGTCTTCCATCAGTGTGAGCAGTGGGGAAATTATTTTCTACATTCCGGTAAGTAATGACTTGAAACTACTTTGTTCTCTTTCTGTTCTGTCAATTCTGTCACATTTGGAAATACATAGGTCAGCTAATAGGAGATGGACTTGTCGGAATCACCTTTGGATTTTAGCCATCAGTCACAAACTTGGACTGGAGTAACGGATACACCTGTTTGGAACTGACTAGGATGTGGAAACTGTTTTATAGTGCTATTCTGTGTGAGTGTCTTTCAAGTAAACCATCAGATAGACCTTCAGAAGCTTGCCTGGGGATAGGACATTTAAAACCCCACTCTTCGGGGCACCTGCCTCTTGCGCTGCAGCATGGTCGCCAGTGCACCTGTCCTCCTCAGGACACTGGCATCTGCTCTGCTCTTCACGGCCTCCGTCTCAGAGCACAGCAGCACCGTGGAGTCAGCCCTCCCGTGAGCATGGCGATTTTGGAACTCACCTTGATGCATAAGAAGATTCACATGTTCAAGTTTTGATAAAGGCCATGGGGCCAGATTACCAGGTTTTCCGCCCCTTGGGAAGGACAGCTGAGCTATTAGACAAAGAAGGCGAGTGTGCGGTGGGGCAGGGCTGGGGGTGCACACATCAACATCTAGTAAACGCCAGCTGTGAGTCCCTGCTTGGATCAGGAAGTCAGGTTGTCCCCGTTAGGAGACGGAGCATGGGGACATTACAGTGCTGTCGTCTGAGTAGGCATCAGGTGGGATTCTGGTGGGAGGGAGCATGGGAGGCCGCTTGCCCTGAAGTGCACTCCTACTGTGGTCCTTTACCCCACTCCCTGGAGGAGGCGAGGCCCACACTGCTGCATCCACCTTTTGGACGGCTTCTCTGGAAGGGCTGGTTCATTAGTGCGGAGCCTTGGGCCTGGACTGTCATTCGCAGACTTGACAACTGCCGACTATCGACCCCTTCCCCGAATTCAGCAGCTCCTGAAGGCCAGTGATGGGGCCTGCTCCACGCACGGATGCCTTCAACAGAATGGCCATCCATTTCAGTGGTGCTCACGCAGAAGAGAGGTGCCACTGCCTGGGGATAGGACATTTAAAACCCCACTCTTCGGGGCACCTGAAATTTGTCGCCAGGCAAGTGTCTGTTCTCCATATTAGATCATGTGCAAACGAGTGTCTCCACCTGAGCGTGAGGACTTCCAAGTTGTGTCCTCAGAGAGCAGATGTGCACAGGGCCTACTGAGAGGTCCCCACGCCACATCTCAGGGCCCTGGAAATTGGTATCACTGCACCCCCCATGGCAGGTTTGGGACAGCTCACCGTGTGGACTGTCTGAGACAATGGAGATCCCTCTGCGGACACTCTGCTGTCCCTTGGGTGGGTGGGGTGGGGTGTGGGTGACCTTGGAGCCCACGCTCAGACATTGTCGGCTTCTGTCGGGTCCCCATGAGCTGGGTGCCCAGAAGGTAGCAGGCCAGGCCACCTCTGAGTGTGGCTGGGAGAGGGCTCTTGGCTCCTACTGGCTCAGTTGGAATCTCCTTGCCAACGTGACTCCACACTAGGAAACCAGCGGTGTCCCTGAGTCCCCCACGTTCCTAGGGTTTCTCCTCAGCGGAGAGAGGACAGAGCCGTGGAGTCGAGGGTAACTTCATCAGTGGGGCTGCTCTCAACGAGCCATGGGCTGGGAGCGTGGAGCCGCAGGAACGTGCCGCTCACCACGTCTGAGCCCTGGCAGACCCAGAGCCCAGCAGGGCTGCTCCTGGTCCACAGGCCGCTCTCTTTTCTGTGTCCCACGTGGCAGAAGGGCTGAGGATCTTTCTGGGGTTCCTTTTATAAGGGCATCGCTGGGCTTCAGGTATGGTTTGATGTGTCCTCAAGGGTCCACACGTGGGAAGCTTGGTCCTCAGTGTGGTGGTGTTGAGCTGGCGGGGCCTTTAAGCCGTGAGTCCTGGTGGAGGTGACTGGTCACTGGGGACACCGCCTCAGAAGCAGCTCATAGGACCCAGGTTGCTTCTGCACGGGGATCATTAGAGGAGGGAGCCTGCCTCTTTCCAGTCTCTGGCTTCCTGTCTCTCAGTATGATTGCTCCCTCTCATGCCACCATTATGATGCCATCTACCTCACTAAAGCCAAGCTGATGCCAGCCCCATGGCCTTGAACTTCTGGAACTGTGTGCTAAATAAACATCTTTTCTTTATAAAGTAGTTAGCCTCAGGTATTTCATTATAGTAACAGAAAACAGATTAATACACTAATGCCACTCCTAGAGGCCTTACTTCATGACCTCACTTCCCAGGCTCCACCTCCTCCACATCCTCGGGGCTAGGTTCCACATGAGTTGACATAAACATTCAGACCTCAGCAGACATGTCTGATTTTCCAGATGCTGTCAACATTTAAAATTTTAATTATGCTTTTGTGTGTGACATGTTGTTTAGAGCCACCTGCTCAAGGTTACGTATCTTTTTGGAAGTCATATCTTACCAGTTTTCAGAAACAAAAATCTTGGAACACCCTTATTATTTGAAGTTGTGTTAAAAAAGAGGAAGAAGCTTCTGTTAGGTACAGTGGGGCCCTCCCTTGGAGATAAACTGTAAAATTGTCAGGAAGAATTCCGGGTTCAGATTTAAATGTTCCTTAAGTGGGTCTGGCTTTCCTCCTGTCCTTCATGCACACAGGGTGAAGCCACCCTGCAGTGCAGAGAAGTCTGGGAGGCTGTCCCTGTAAGATAGCGGTCCCACCTGGAGCCACAGGCTCGTCCCCGAGCAGCCCAGCGCTTTCCCACTGCCCCGCTGTCGGGAGAGGGCTCATGTCCTCTGTGTCAGATGGGACATGGCAGTGTTTCTGGGTCACAGGACGGGAGTACAAAGGTGCCATCCATGTCATGCTTGGCCGTTGTCCTAGGTACCCTGTGGTCATCGCCCAGGGTGTCAAGGGTGTCCCTGGAGCTGCAGAGTGAACATAGGTGTGACACGTCCTTGGGGGAGTGAGGACTGGAGGCAGGAGCCGTCGTGGTGCAGGGCCGGCTTCTCCCGCTTCTCCAGGGAGCACAGCCTGGCCCAGCCTCCCCAACCCTCCCCACCTGTGACTCAGGGCAGCAGTGGCAACAGCTGGGTGAAGGGTCTCCTCACCCAGCTCAGAGGGAATGCTTCTGTTTTTGTTTCAGGGCATTTGCACGTAAAAGGCAAAGAAGAAAAAATGTCCAAATCATTGAAAAACTACATCACTATTAAGGTACTGTGCTTGTGTGTCCTGAGGGGACGGCAGCTTCAGCACGCTGCCCCAAAAGTATGAGAAGCATTGGATTTGGGATCCTTGTTCGCCGCTGCCACCTCCTCCCAGCCACCGTGCTCTTCCTGGTCTCAAGGCCCCAGTAGCCACCCTCCTGGTGGCCTCTGCCTGCCCCGCTCCTGCTCTGCCTCTGGGTCCGCCTTCGCCTTCCTCCTCGGCGTTCCCAGAACAGCACCTCTTTCTCCCACTTTTTTTCTGTAAGTTTTAGCTCTTGGATGGTATTTGCTAGAGTCCATGTCCCTGGCCAGCCTCCTCCTGCTAGTGTGGGCTTGGGCCTCCTGCTGGTACGTCTGGTGTGTGCTGGCCTTCAGGAGGCCCAGCGCTGGCTGGCTCCCTAACAACCTGGAAACACCGTGGTGGTGATGACCCAGGGACTGTCAGTGTGTGGTGGCAGCAAGAGCAGACGGTTTGATTGCTACCCCTGTCTTTGGGCCTGTCTTTAAAGTTAAATTTAGTTTTAATTGTGAAATAAATTGATAAAGGTAGTCATCAGAGCATCGTCACCTAAATACCCAACCACTGCACGCTCCTCCCATCAAATCTGAGTGAGCTGACAGGGACAGCTCCTCGAAAGAGCATTGATACACGCTTCTCAAATCTTAAGTTTTCAGTTTTATCAAAGTTTCAAACTCACAGGAGAGAGTTGAAGGTGACATGCAGAGGCCACCACACATGCTGCAGTTACTGGTTTGCTATGTGGGGAAGACATGCGTCTTCACCTCCAACCCATCAGAGGTCCTCTGGCTGCAGCCTGAAAGTGACACTGGCCAGACAGACCAGCAGGAACAGACAGGCCCAACCTGTGCACTCTGTAGACCGGCAGGAACAAGCCAGGCCTGTCCCCGCATGGACTGCACAGACCGGCGGGAACAGACGGGCGGGCGCATCCCTGTGTGCACTGTGCAGATCGGCAGGAACAGACAGACCAACTTTTCTTGTGTCTGCTGGTTCTCAGCAGTTCCACATAACCCTTAGGCCAGGAGTCATCTTCTGGGGGACCGCATTCCCAGTGTGCCCGTGCCTGTGTGCATGCTCACTGTGAGGGCTGGGGATACAGCGCAGTTGGTAGAGTGCTTGCCTCGCAAACACAGGCCCTGGGTTCAATTCCCAGCACCACACACACACAAAAGTATCAGAACATACATTGCAGACAGCAGGATGCCTCTGTTCCACATGCAACAATGAAAAACAAGGATGCTTTGCTACGTAATCTAGATACCTACAAAGTCAGCAGCAGTCTCTTCGTGTTACCAATCTCTCCATTGGTCCCCAAGCTGTGTTTTATAACTTTCTTCTCGTGTAAAGTCAGGATCCAGTCAAGGTTCATGAGTTGTATTTGGACGTTGAATCTTTTTAGTCATTTAAGGAAAGTTGGTTTTAACAGAGAACATAAAACTGCCATGGTGATCCCTGTACAGCTCGGGTCTGCCAGGTGTGCCGCCCAGGTGTGCGGCAGCTCTCCAGGACATTTCCATCTTGCAAGACCAGAACCCTGCTCCACTGGACAGCTCCCCGCTCCCCCATGCTACCGTCCCTGGCAGCCACTCTCTTCCCGCTTCCCTGGCTAGGGCTCCTTTGCCTTCTTGCGGCATTTGTCCTCATGGCTGCTTACTTTCACTCATCATGATGTCACGGCTCGCCATGTGGCGTACCAGGACCCCCTCCAAGCACAGGCTGAATCGCAGTGCACTCTACCAACTGTGCTGTATCCCCAGCCCCGATTTAGGTCTGTGATGTGCAGCTGACTCAAACTGCGAGCGAGCATTCCACGTTCTGGGTTTGCCTGCATCTTCATGGTGCCATTTACCTCTGTGTCTTCTGTGTTCTCTGTGACTGAAGGGAGGCTACAGGCCTGATGCCATTCACACTGCTTCTAGTGTGTGTGTGTGTGTGTGAGTTCCCCCTCCCTGCTTGTCAGTGGCAGGCAGAGCGGTGTGTCTTGCACAGCTGTGTTTCCTCCTGATAGTAGGTGCTGGATCTTATCACAGAAGTGCGGGAAGGACACACAGGACAGGGATGCACGTGGCGGAGACCCCCAGAGGTAAAGCAGGGGAGGTGAGTCTCCTGCCCGGTGTCCCTAGCCAGGTTCCTCTCCTGGAGCAGCCATTGTAGGCGGGCTCTTTGGGAGTCGAATATCTGTGACACTTCAGATTTTTTATTTATTGATTTATTTTTTGGTGCTGTGGATTGAACCTGGGGTGCTTAACCACTGAGCCACATCCCCAGCCCTTTTTATGTTTTATTTAGAGACAGGGTGTCGCTGAGTTGCTTAGGGCTCGCTAAGTTACTAAGGCTGGCTTTGAACTTGTGACCCTCCTGGGATCACAGGCTGCATCACTGTGCCCCACTGCAGAAGTGCTTTGCTTGCAGCTTTCTCTGCGCACAGGGCTTGTGCACCTTGGCTCTTGTTTTGTTCACATGATTAATCTTTGGCGTGGTCCCTTTCTGCCATGTGGAGCGGGCTCATCCTTTGGAATGGCTGAGTGCCCACTTGTGGGTGCTTAACTGGTTGAAGTGAGCTCCCGGTGATTGCCATTTAGATCATACCAAGTTTTCTGCTAGGGGATGTGCCTTTCAGTTTTTTGTAGATATTGCCAACTCGGCACTCTATTTTATTTATTTATTTATTTATTTTTAGTTGTTGATGGACCTTTATATTTTAAAATTTATTTATAGATGATGCTGAGAACCGAACTCAGTGCTTCACACATGCCAGGCAAGTGCACTACTGCTGAGCCACAGCCCCATCCCCGACACTCTGTTTTTAATGACCACAGAGTGAGTCTCGGTAGTGATATTCCATGATTCATTTCCTTCTTGTGGACTTGTCCACGAGACCTTGATTCTGTAGCCCACAGTGCAGTGGTGCACATCCTTAACTAAATACTAAGTGCCTCTAGTGCTGTCTCTGGGCGTCCACAAGGGATTGGTTCCAGGAGCCCCCAGGGATGTCAAGTCCCTTAAGGATGCTCAAGTCCTTAAAAAGCCAAATGTGCACACCAGCCTCCCACACACTTGCAGTCCTCTCTGGATACTTAAAATACCTAGTAAGAAGTCAGTGTTAGGCGGGCAGTCATCACATCCTGGCAACAATGGCAAGGAGAAGCCGCTGTTTTTGGTCTGCGGTTGTTTGCATCATGGGTGTGGAACCTGCAGACTTGGAATGCCATCTCTGATGACCAGTACTCAGGGTGAGGCCTCAAGGTGGACTTGTATCTAGACGCAGGTGCTAGATACAGCCTGGTAACTCAGCATAAGTGTATGGAAATGCCCACTTTTCAGGTCTCCTCCACATCAAATTGGAAGACTTGTATTCAGATTAACGTTTGTTTTGTTAATTTGGTGCTGAATTGCATTGAGATTATAAAGATACATTTCTTTATCAGCTGCTAAAGTCATCTGAATGTATATATATATATATTTTTTTTTTTTTTGCTTTTTTCTCTTTTATTTTTGACTAGTCTGCATCTGCCCTGGACCTGTAGTTCCCGGGGACCTTAAGCCATTTCACCACATGTTAAAAATGTTAATTGACTTTCTGGTTCCAGCAGAAGAAAGTCCCTATCACCCTCATTGCTGCGGAGACCATAGGTAGGCTCGTATCATGGTTTGCATGGAGATTTTGGGTCTTCCCAGAAACTTGCTGGAGCCAGAGTCAGTGTGGAGGGAGCTCAGCCTCAGCCTCTGCGCTCAGGCAGTTCTGAACCCGACCTTGCCTGTACCGCACATCACAGAGTCTTTGCTGTTTCTTCTTTAGAGTGGTAGCAACACCTTTGTTGTGGGTCATGTGCAGGGGAAACTACAAAGTGCTAAGAGCCGAGGGCCTGGCTTCCAACCTGGGGTTGACGGGAACACTCTCCCAGTGCTAGTTCATCCCCTGCGAGTGTGCACCTGGAACCTCATGAGCTTGCAGTGGTTCTCAGGGCTTGTTGCTGTCACCGTAGTTTGGCCAGCGCTCCCCACATGTCACATTCCTCCCACTGAGATTCTCCAGCCAGACTGTGTCGGTTTGCTGTGACAGCTATGGCCAGTTGTGTGATGTAATCAGGGTAGTACATGAAAATTGGTGACAGCGGTAAGTGCAGAGCAGAGGCACAGTAAGAAGTTCACGCCCATGAACAGCATCACAATTCAGTCCCCAAAATGACGCTGCACATCACCCCCCTTTCTGTGTTGTTCTTTGGAATAGTCCGTAGAACTGAGTGCCATAGAAAGATCGGGTTCTGGATTTCTATTTGTACCCTTTACCTAACTCAGTAAGAGTGCACCCCAAGTGGGGAAAAGAAACAGTCTTGATGGTTGGGTGTCTCAGAAAGCGTCCACAGGTTTGTGAGCACACGGTGAGTCTGGTTGCAAATGGAAGGGACATCCGAAGCCTCCTGAATCCCTCTTGGGATGAAGCAGAGAAGATGACTACCCAGAAAACACAGGGACTGGTTCTTTGTTGTGAAAGGAAGCAAAATTTAAACTAGAGAAATTCATCAAAGATGAAATTTCCCTAATATTGCAATTTTAAGATTGTGTGATTAATGGCACCCATGTGAGCAAAAAGCAAGTGGGGCTGTGGCTGAGGCTCTGGTAGAGCGCGTGCCTAGCATGTGTGAGGCACTGGGTTCGATTCTCAGCACCACATATAAATAAATAAGTGATAAAGGGTGATCTACAGCTAAATATATGTGTGTGTGTATGTGTATAAAAGCAAACAGGCTAGGTCCCTAAGCACCAATGCCACAGAGTGGGAGAGGGCATGGATTTCAGGGCGTAGGTCCCCGAGCACCATTGCCACCACTACATCTGTGACTGTTGACAGCTGGGTGATGAGGTGTCCCAGGCGGGTCCCAGGAGGCAAACCCAGCTCCTGCCCCTGTGTAGGCAGCTCGTAGCCTCACATGCCAGACGGAAGAGCAGCAGTGCACACACACCCCCTGGCACAGCTGCTGGAGGAGGCTCTGTGGACACGGAATAAAGGAAGCCACTCCAGCATGAGGCAGAGGCTCTGGGCTGAGGCAGTTCATGTCTATGCTCACAAGAAGGAATCTCAGGAATTCCAGCGTGAGTGAACAGTCATGCCTTGTGCCAGCTAGACTCCCCAGACCTGGACCCAGGCCCTGAGTCCTTGTGCTGCATGTTTGTGGGGACCCCTACACCAGGGCCTTTACCCCAAACCGTAAGATCAGACAGATGGTTCTGGAAGACATGGCCCGTGAATGGGGCCCCGTGGCGTGCAGGAAGGCACCATTCAAGGGTTAAAACTGGGGTCAGAGTTCCCGGTGGACACAGCACCCAGGACCCAGTACTGCAGCAGGGTGCAGTGCAGGCAGGGCTGGTGCAGCCTTGGACATTTCATGGAAGGCTTGGTTTTGAGCTCTAAGCCTCATCTTTTTGTCTCCGTAATTATGTCACCTCTAGGCACGCTGCACATGATGAAGCCTCTACAGTGCTCCTCATTTCTCTGCTAGTCTCTTGACGGCTCTCTTGAGTCACTGCATTGCATTGGGAGCAGCCTGTTTCCACGGACATGTGGGGACTTAAATAGGAAGCAAGTTGGACTGAAAACCAGATGTGACTGCATGTGAGTGAGTCAGGTCGGCCTCAGTGTGCACGACACTTTGGACAGAGAGTCCCTAATGAGTTGTGGTTGTTGGTGACAAAGAAATAGTCTTTATTTTTTCTACAGTTTGGAAAAGAGCACATGGGAGAGGGACAGGTGGCACTTGAAATCCCAGGGTCATTGCTGAAGGGGGTCAGACTAGACATGGCCACACACACACACACACCAGGCAACCTGGTGGTGTCTGCACCCTTCCTTGCAGCATGACGTTTATGAATACACACAGGCGTGAGGTCACAGGGACGCTGCTGATACCAGGGAGGAAGACACGCACTGCTCACCCGCAGCCTGCAGCTGGCTGGCTGTACTGCAGTGCCACCAAGCAGCACAGACGGGGGCTGGAAGAAGTCTGCCGCCCTGGCAGGCGTGCCAGGGCCCTGATCATCTGCTGTGGTCAGTTGCTGACATTGCTCATGGAAGGAAATGTCACATTTCAGTGAGAGGTTGACAGAACTGACGTGCGACTATTTAACCATCTACGCAGACTCTCCCCTCCCCTCCTAAATTCTCACCTCCTAACTCTCCCAGGAGGTCAGGAACCCCTGGATTGGGGACTGGCCCCACAACTTCCTGATGAATGCTACCCTGGATGAGAATGGCTCCCCACCTCAGGCACAGAGTAGAACCCGGCAGGTTGTGGGGGTTCCCACCTGGCAGAGGCAGACCAGAACCCCTTCATCCTCAGGAAGGACCAAGCCCCAAGCAGCTGAGTCTGCAGCCTCCTTCCTCCTCTGCAGCCCAGTGGCCACAGGACAGCGCTCCTGGGCAGGAGCAGGTGAGGCTGCCCCACACTTCCCGGGGAGGCCTCCCACTCCAGCGTGATTTAGCTTTCTCTGGGAGAGCTGCTTAGTGTCCAGTACAAGGACAGTGTTTTCTACTTCATCAAATAGTTGGAGCTGGTCTCCATGACTCGGCCTCCCAGGCCATTTTGTTTACCTCTGCTGCCCCTCGTTGGCCCCTGTGTTATCCCATGGCAGGTAGGAGGAACGGCGAATGGACTGCAGGTCCACAGCCCCCGTGGGGCTCACCACATCGTTGCTGCCTCAGTGGGTGAGGAGAGGGGTTGGTAGAATCTGGAGACAACTAGCAGCTCCTCCCCTGCAGAGGCTCTGGGAGCTGGTCAAGCAGGCCCAGGAGGCCTGGTGAGAAGCTTTAGGGCTGAGTAGCCACAGCTCTGCTGTCCCAGAGTGAACCTGGTGGCGGGGAATGAAACAGGGAGACCCTAGTTCCTTTCCTGGGACAGAGCCTTCTCCCTTCCCTGCTCTGTGCCCCACGTCTAAAGTGCTGACCAGCACATGGAGAGGTTTTGTTGAATGTTGGCTGCTTTAAGGGCCCCTGTTTGTCTCCCCATTCTCCTGCTGTCCTTTCTAACAGCAGTCATCGTTCACCACGGGCAGGCTCTCTGTGAATGGCCTCTGGGTAGCCGAGGCTGGATGGTCTCCTCTTGGAGAGACACTTGGTGTGTCCTGACCACAGCATGCCGTGGGGTGAGCAGGCCTTTGCCCCTCGTTGGGACACTGGGCTCGAGCTCTGATGTAGCGCGTGCTGACCGTTAACGTTGGCTGTGCCTTTCCTTGACTGTCTCCTTCCCCTGTGTGTGGCCAGCTGCTAGTGTGGCCGTGCCTCCTCGCCAACCCTCCCTGTGCCCAGCACTGTCTTATCAGTCACTAGGCCACCTGGCAGCAGGCGGCCCCGTGTCTTCATGACACAGACACAAGTCCCCAGGGCTCACAGCAGGACAGTAATCTCCCCTTGAGACTGTCAGCAGGAATTTCAGGGCATGTGGGCTTTTCAGTCTCAGTCTTTTCCACAGAAGTGAAACTGAACAAACAAAATTCCACGGGAGAAATCATCAGGAAAAAAGTGATCATGAAAGTTTGGAGGGCTGGGGATGTGGCTCAAGGGGTAGCGCGCTCGCCTGACATGCGTGCGGCCTGGGTTCGATCCTCAGCACCACATACCAACAAAGATGTTGTGTCCGCCGAGAACTAAACAATAAAACATTAAAGATTCTCTCTCTCTCCTCTCTCACTCTCTCTTTAAAAAAAAAAAAAAAAAAAAAAAAAAGAAAGTTTGGAGACAAAACAAGTGTTTATAAAAATCCCTGATTTCTTGCTGTTTGGATCACCCTGCTCAATTGCAGTCACTGCTGATCCCTAAGTGACACATGCTCTGCTTATTCCTCCCTTTCTAGGACTTTCTGCAGACATTCTCCCCCGAAGTCTTCCGGCTCTTCTGCATGTGCAGCAGCTACAGGTCAGGTGAGCTGGGCACGCCACCTTCCCGAGCCTGAGAGCCCCAGTATTTTATTTATAACTTGGAAAGGACAGCATCTGGGGAGAGCAGAGCACAGGCCAGTGGTGAAGTCCCTATTTTGGTCTGTGGTTGCTTTCGTGTCTGGAAGGTCCAGCTGCTAGAAGAGAACCTAGAGGAAGCATTAGGATGTTTCTAACCCCAGCACGCCCCACGCCCCAGAACCCTTTGTTCTGTCTGCCCTTACGTCGTCGATCATTTAAACAAAGCCTCTCAGGTGGAAAGTAGTAGAAGTTCTCTGTGGGCCACCTGTCCTTCAGGGGAGGGGGCCTTTGTGTTGGGGCAGCTCTGTGGTCACCGTTCCTGGAGGTGGAGGTGTCCTGTTCTCTGCTGGTTTCTGCGTGCTGTGAGGAGGGCCTCTGTTGGGCCCCTCCTCAGTGTCCATCTTCCTTCTCAGCCATCGACTACTGTGACAGCACCATGCTGGAAGCCAGGCAGCTCCTGCTGGGGCTGGCCTCTTTTGTGGAGGACGCACGTGCCTACGTTAAGGGGCAGCTGATCTGTGACCCCGTAAAGGAAGACCTGCTGTGGGAAAGGTAGGCCCACAGCCAGGGTGGCTGACATCAGCACTCCTCCAGGCGCCACACCGGGCCACTTGCTAGAGAATAGAGGCAATGTGGAAGCAGGACACTCCCAGCTCATGGTGCCCCTCATTGGCTTTGTGGCTTTGGGCAGGCCTGTGGTGTCACTTGTGGGTGGCTGTGAAGGTTATAAAGAACATATACGCCTGGACTGGTTTTGCCTGGACTTGGCAGAGTGGTGTCCCCATCTCTGTGACTTCACTGTTGGATGAGTTCATCCATTAGAAAAATGGGCACATCACAGCAAGGTGGGCCCACAGGACTCTGTGACTGTAACTCGAGGGTACCCAGCCCACCAGTGCCCTCCAATTGCCTGAGGAGGAATGTGGCTGAGGGCTGGAGACCAAGCCTCACCTAAGGGGTTGGACAGTGAGTGGGAGGAAGGGGCTCTCACATTTAGTAGGTGCATGTTCTGCTACAGCTGCAGTCCTGCTGCCTCTGCACGGTGACTGTGCTCATATTCATTCCATCCACTAAACGTGAAAGTCTTGGGGTTCACTGTGGGTAGAATATCCTGGGAGGGGAGACACTGAAGGTCAGTGGACACCAAAGCCTCTCTCTGGAGACAGGAAAGGCTGTGGCCAGCCGGTCACCTGTGTTTGGGACATTACTAGGACATACACTCCAAGAGGGATTCCTAGGAGGATGAAGCACCTGGACTCTGTTGGAGTTGATGGGGACGGGACTGCCTGCCGCTCCAGCTGTCTGGCAGCCCAGAGTGGTGGGCCTGAGTGTAGAGGTGGCTTGTGTCTGGAGCTCAGCCAGCACCTTGACCCCGTCCATGGCAGGGGACGAAGGAGTACAGGTTACCTGTCGTGGGTAATAATGGCTCTGCTCACCAGTTCAGGAGGTACAAGAAGGAAACCCAGGCATAGAGGATGGTCATTTGCATTGAGGCAGAGAGGCCCATCTGTACTTGGTGTCAAAATAGCCCGAATATCAGTGGCTCAACAGTGTTTACTTCTCCCCGTGGATCAGTAGAGGGCCTCTCTGCATCGTCACTGGGGCCAGGCTGATCAGCAGCCACCATTACTCCTTTGATAGTGCTTGCAGCTCATGCACTGGCCCAGAAGTGGCCATCACTGCTGCTCACCATTGCCAGGCTGGCCCCAGAGCCCCACCTGGCCTCAAGGTCACCCAGAAGCCCCTCCTTTTATTTGCCAAAGCAAGAGTCTGAAGGCGGGTCAGGAGAGAGCACCGGTAACAAATGAGGGGCCAGTGCCAGCAGAAAGGCAGGGAGATGAGGACACCAGTGACAGCAAGGGAAGTGGCTAGCAGTAGGAGAGGGCAGAGACGGGGATGGCAGGACAGGGACAGCTCCGGTGTCCGGAGTATATGGGGGACACACAAGGCCACCATGTGTAGAGGAGGAAGGCAAGAAAGGTACCATGGAGACCCCTGGTCAGGGCTGGGAGTAGAAGGTTGAGGATTTTGGCTCTTGGGGAAGTGTGACTGCAAAAAGAGATAGCAGAGGCTGTCACAGAGGGGACACAAGTAAGGACAGGTTTTGTTCATACATTCTGGAGAGGGACCTGGAACAGCAGGGGATAGTGCAGTCGAGGGTCCTTGGTGACTGGCCAGGATCCTGAGGGGAAGAGGCTCTCACTGTCGTGGTCCTGGCAACTCTAGGCCCCTGAGCCCTGCTGCCCAGAGTAACTCTGGGCATGTGTTCCCTATTTACAGAGCTGAAAGTCACAGCTGCTGGGGACCAGTGTCAGGAGCCCCCAGGCAGGTCTGGCCTGGCCCGCCTCATGCCCCTGCGGTGAGCCCACCTGGAGCTGGCAGCTGAGTGCTTCCACTCCTCCTCTGCTCCTGGGGCTGGGCTTCTCCACAATGTCCCATGGCCCCTCACCATCAGCAGGTCAGACAGGGCTGAGCTCTGGTCCCCCATGGCCCCTCACCATCAGCAGGTCAGACAGGGCTGAGACCTGTGGCCCCCTAGCCACCCCTTTCTGTGATGAGTCAGTTGAGGGGCAGCTGCCATCTTAAGTCATCACTTCTCACTGTCCTCCACATGCTGGGCACTCAGACCCAAGGGTTCAGGCACGTCCACTTGAGAGTTTTCATTTGGCTCACACGACTTGCAGCTGATGTTATGTATGAGGTTCTGGTGAGACTGTGCGTGTGACTTAGGAGGGGGTCCCCACAGTACAATTCTTGGCCCTTCTTGGGGAGGGGTTTGAGCTTTGCATGGATTGGTGCCTGGCCAGGCCCAGGTCCTCGCTGTTCCCTGTGGGAGTAGGTGAGTCTTCCTTCTTCCTCAGGCTCACCAGCACCAAGGAGGCCGTGAAGGCTGCATTGGCAGATGACTTTGACACACCCAGGGCAGTTGGCACCATCCTGGACCTTGTGCACCATGGGAACAGACAGCTCAGAGCAGTCACTAAGGTAACTTGAAGGACACACAGCCCTCCATCCCACTGCTGGATGTGACAGGTCAGGGGTTTCTCATAAGGAAGGAACAGGTGCCAACTCTGCCAGCTGTCTGGAGAGACATGTTTATTGTAGCTGGCAGCATCTGGGTATGTACCAGTGAGCCCTTCCTTCTGCAAGAATCCTGGAGTTCCTGCTGGTGTTGGTGGAGACAGCACCCTATGCCTCCAGAAGTAAATATGGGAGTACACACAGCACATTCATGGGTTCCTGGCACACAGAGGGCATGGTTGCCACCATAGGTACTGGGTAACCCTCTCTGTGGTTTGGAATGGGGTGGATTGGAGCTGGTTGAAATGGGGAGGAAACTATACTTTGGGACCCCAACTCCATTGGCCACCTAACAGGGTCTCAACCTTTTCTGGGCCTCAGGGTCACCTGTAGGACCAGCCCTTTGGAGTATGCCACCTCTTCAGGTGCAAAGTGTGCTTGGTTCTCGGAGGAGCTTTCACTGCCTACTGCACACACAGCACTCACTGAGCTGTTTAAAGGCAACACCAAGTACCAGGGGCCACACCAGCAGTCCTTGGTCATGAGGGTGTCCAGGGTAGGGAGGTTGGGTGGCCTCTGAGTGTTGTGCCTCAGCTTCTGCTGCTCCATGGGTTCCCAGAAACAAGGCTCTGCTGTCACAGGGCCTCTGCGCTCGTGCCTGCCATATACCTTTTAGGGTTCTCAAATTCAGAAATCCAGCCCAGTTCCCATGGCCTTCCACTTACCCACAGCCATGCGAAACCCACAGGAGCCTGAAAGACGGGTGCATCGAGGCCTGGAGCTGCCCAGCATATGCTGGGTGGCATGGCTTGCTGAAGAGACTGGGGTTGCTGGAGCGAGCTTGTGTCCTCAGTCCACAGAGGGGCCGCTGAAGGCTGCTCTGATGTGCGCTCTGCCGGCCTTCAGGCTGCTCTAAGAGCCATTGTGGTGCATTTCTTCCAGGAGCCTGGGGGTCCCAGGAGCCCTGCTGTGTTTGGTGCCATTGTCTCCTACATTGAGCAATTTTTTGAGACTGTTGGAATTTCTCTAGTAAAACAACAGGTATGTCTTTATCTTTTAAAAAGCTCTAGAGTACCTACATGATGGTTCAATAGCTGTTTTTCCTTTTTATTTTTTTTAATAATTATTTTTTAGTTGTAGATGTACACAATACCTTTATTTTATTTATGTATTTTTATGTGGTGCTGAGGATCAAACCCAGGACCTCACAAGTGCTAGGCGAGTGCTCTACTGCGGAGCCACAACCTCAGCCCATTTTCCTTTTTAAATGCTCATTTTAGGGATGACTACAATGCCAAATTAACATTTTATGTTCACGTATTACTTTTAAAATGTATTACTTTTCTCAAAAAAATAAACCCACTCAAGCCAATACCTCATTGGCACTCTGCTGAGGGCTGACGTGTGAGCAGAGCCAGAGTCTGACCTGAGCCACAGTCTTGTTTGGAGACTTGGAAATTACAGAAAGATGACACCTACAGGAGTGAACACTGTCCCCAAGTCATCTGAGAGAAAGCTGCTGGCCTGAGTGCGAGACGTGGTGGGCTGCCACTAGCCCTTCTGGTCTCAGGCACCCTGCTGGCTTCCCCACGCCCAGAGAGGTCTTCCCAGCCGGCCCAGCCTGGCTGGGACTTTCCTCAGTCTGGGCCCCAGTGCTGGTTGTGCGTCTCTGACAGGATGGCAGAACCAGGCCCACGTGACCTTTCCTGGTGACACATGGACCATCTCCTGAGGGCGGGGCTGCCGGGCTTCACTGTGATGGGCTTCTTCCTATAAGTGGGAGGCTGTGCGTCCTCCTCACTCACGGCCTCTCACTTCTGTCAGCACAGACTCAGGTTCCCTGTGTGTCGGCCTTCATGGTTTGTGGCTAGTGAAGCTTCTGGCCCCAGGCCATGTCCATGGACATGTCCTTGTGGTATTACAAGCTCGAGGCTGCAGCTCTGTTGGCTGCTCCCAGGGAGGCCTTTTCTTTGCAATGGGTTTCCAGATGTGTAGACGGAGCACAGGGTGAGCTGGCAGCGCCAGGCCTCATAGGGTGCCATGCTGGGGCACTTATACGATCGAACTTCACTACATCCATCTATGTTGACTGCAATTCAAGGACCACCATCAACATCTTAGTCCTTGGCCCCTCCACAAATCCACTCATGAAGTCTCCCTGAGCAGCTGCCACCCTGTGCGCATGCCCTGCACATCCCTCAGTGCAGGAGCTCTCCATCCTGTAGGGCTGTCATCCTACCCCTGGGGCTGCCTACTGCACGAGCACCTCTGGACCCCATGTGGTCCCCTCTTCCTCCTCACCTACCTTACACTGCTATACCCCAAAGTACCTACACCCAGGACTGATCAGGAAGGATGAGGAAAGAGCCAGTCAGAGTCCTTTCTACACTCTACATGCACATGCTTTTCTTATTAATACAGAAAGGCCAGCACTGAGCAAGTGCAGGATCTTCCTCAAGGTGGGCTGAACCCTGCCCTCTCTGGCTGCACTGCAGCCTGTCTCTGCTGAGGCCTTGACAGTCTCTGTCAGGGTCTTCTGCTGGCTTTGGGGGTAGAGCTGTTTACTGATTTAACAGGGGACTGCCATTTTTGCTCAGTGACCTGCACCCAGGAGCCCCCCTGCTGCTTGGGGTCTTGGGCCTGGTCCCTGGTCCAGGTTGCCCTCTGTGCCCCTGAGCCTGGCTCCTCTCTCGGGACTTTTACTACTATGAATTCCTTTGACTGTTTTAACAGAGGACTATAGTATCTCCATAGCAGCTCCCAAGTCTGGCTCCTTCGGGTACCTGCCCATCATCTGGTAGACTGGCTCGCCTTAATGGAGTCCAGGGTCTGTCTGGACACAAGTCTCTACTGACCTGAAATGACGAGGGCTTTACAGCAGTACATTCATTTTTAGACAAGGCTTTCCAGAGTCTGTATAGTGAAAATATACGTGGCCAACTTGTGCCTGACCCTTATCAAAACAACTCATTCACCTTCCCCCACCTCAAGGCTGCTGTCTGGGACTACTTTACACTCACATTTCTGTAGCAACCAATGTCCTCTTTTATTGTGAAAGTAGTGATTGAGGGTTGTATGAGGCTTTGTAGACTTTGTGAAGTTATAAAACATGGTTCATTTTTATCTCCACAGCAGGGGTAGAAATTGGGGGTGGAGGGAGCCATGACTTCTAAATCTGGTTTTCACGGGAAGCCCCACTTTTCATGATGTTTACCCAGCTGGTCACAGGCTGAGCAGCTGCCACCCTGTGCACATGCTCTGCGCACCCCTCAGTACAGGAACCTCTGTGTTGAATTAGTGTGTATGTGCACATGAACGCACAGTAAGCCATTCAACTTCTACAGCATCTTAAACGTTTGGTTACAGTGGACGGCTTTGTCCTCATGAGTACCCCAGGCTCAGACTTCTGGACTCTCCTCAGATGACAGGATAGGGTGGCGCTGAGGCGCTATCCCACCTCCCTGCTTTATCCCTGCATGGCTCCCAAGGCCTTGGTGGGGCTGGGCTCCAGGGCCCTTCCTCTAACTCCTGAGTGGGTGTCAGTTCAGCTGGGACAACAGGCACTCGTCCGAGTGGAGTGGAGCCAGACCCCCGTGGCTCATCCCCTTGAGGTCCCCAGCAGGGCCAGCTTTAGGTTACCAGGAAGACTTGTTCACTGCACACTCTGCAGTGTGGCCTTGCGCTCAGTGCATTTCAGGAGACAGCAGTGTGGCTACTCTGCACAGCGTGGTGGATGAGCTGGTGCGCTTCCGGCTGAAGGTCCGGCAGTATGCACTGACCACACCTGAGGCTGCTGGGGATGCCCGGCGACAGCTACTCCTGGAGAGGCGGCCCTTGCTGGAGGCATGTGATGCACTGCGCCAGGACCTTGCCACGCATGGCATCAGCATCAAGGTGAGTGCAGTCCCCCTAATTGGGCTAACAGGCTAGACCCACTGTCTCCCACTGAGACACACTCACTCCTCAGCCCCCGTGGCAGGGCCCGTGACCCAGGTCCTGCTCAGCCTCCCCTCCCCCACTGGCCTTCTGGAAGTTAGCAGCAGGCCTCTCCAGGCACTTGGTGCTACTTATCCTTCTTCTTATCCTGAAGCGGGCTGTTGTCACCATCACCGTGGGTGGCTACTCAGAACCTAAACTTCCCTTCTCTAGGACAGAAGCAGCACTACCTCCACATGGGAACTGTTGGATCCCAGGACAAAACACCAGAAGCCAGGAAGCTGAGGAAGGAGCACTCATCGGCCTTCACAAGCATGCAGCTTCTGGTGAAAACTTTATATTAAAGTTTCCACAGTGGCTACTCAGTGTTTTAGTCAGCTTTTTTGCTGCTGTGACTGAAAGATCTAACCAGAAATTTTTAGGAGGACAAGTTTATCAGAGTGCTCACGGTTTCAGAGATCTCAATCCATGAGCAGCTGGCTCTGTTCCTCAGGGCTTGAGGTGAAGCTGAACATAATGGTAGAAGAGTGAGGTAGAGGGAGGTGGCTCACATGATGATCAGGAACCACAGAGAGAGACTCCACTCTCCAGATACAAAATATGTACTCCAAGGCCACAGCTCACTTGCCTTCAGTGACCACTCAGTTAATCCCTATTGGGGATGATTCAATGACTGGATTAAGGCTTTTAGGATCTAAACCTTATTGCACTGTCTCACATGAGCTTTTGGGGAACCTTCATCTAAACCATAACAGTCAGTATTGAAATGACGTGAAGGGAGGCTGCCCTACTGGTGTCTGTCTGTAAGTCCGAAAAATGAACTTGACAGTGCCAACAGCCAGACTGGGCAGTCGTCAGCAGTCTAGGATGTGAGCTGGCTCTGCGCCCCAGAACCAGAGTGCATAGGAGGAACCTGAGAGTGGGACCCCACTGGGCAGATGCTTGACAGCTGAGGTCCTTGGAAGGAGTTGAGGAGGGGAACACAGGAAGCCACAGGAGTCACAGCTAATGTCCCACAGGGCTAAAGGTAGGTGGAGCACCATAGCTGCCTCTGAAACAAGTAGGACAGGAGGTGGCTGGCTCTTTTGGCTTCCCCAGCTTGCAGATCTTGGACCAGGCCTCTCCTGGCCCTACCCTCTTGATCCTGTGCCTGCAGCAGCACATGGCTCCATGCAGCTAAAGCCTGGCTTACTATCTCCATTTAAGCCCTGTGGCCATGAAGGCACTGGACACCCAGGTTTTTGCTAAGCATGTCATTCAGGAGTCACTACCTGGTAAACTGAGGTAGAGGGATTTCCAGGGGGCACCTGGAGGAAGACTAGTACTCCAGCACTACCCCAGCACTCCCATACTGCTGGCCAGGTCCTGGGGGCACTCCCAGCACTAGTATCTTTGGCTGAACTAGTGCATGTATGTGGGTTTGTCAAAGAACAGGGTGCAGCTAGCTGCATTAAAACAACCCAGATGATAACCCCCATCTCCCCTCAAGGACGGACTCTTGCTCATTCAGAGTGAAAGTTTAAGTAATGAAAACACGAGTTCCTATGACTTTGGCAAGTTTTATTTCCTTGGAAGGTGGCTGTCTCGGGCTTACAGGTGATTGCCGTGGCAATGCTGACAGGTGGTGGTGAGAATGCTGCAGGCAGGTAACAGGCCCATCCTTGGTCTTCTGATGTCTGCTGGCGTCCTCACTCAGGACAGCTTAGAGAAAACTCCACCTTTAAATAAGCCAGGGGGTGTAACCACCACCAGGCTTTTTCTGCTGTCCAAGGCAATTCTTCCAGATATAGATAGATTCTAAAGTTTGACATACTAGCAAATTTTTAATCTTGGAAGTTGACTAGCTTTAAAGAAAGCATGACCATCTGTCTATAATCTCAGCTACTCAGGAGTCTAAAGCAGGGGGACTGAAAGTTTGGGGCCAAATTAGTGGGACCCCGTCTCAAAATGAAAAGGGCTAGAGCTGTGGCTCACTGGGAGAGCACTTGTCTAGCATGTATAAAACTCTGAGTTCCAGTACTAGGGTGGGAACAGTATAACCACCTAGACCATTGTTAAAATTTTTTTTAAGTTGTAGATAGATGGACACAATACCTTTATTATTTATTTATTTATTTATTTATATGTGGTGCTGAGGATTGAACCCCGTGTTTCACATGTGCTAAGCAAACACTCTACCACTGAGCTACAACCCCAGCCCCATCTAGACCATTTTGAAGGGAGTGATCACCAAGTGCACAAAGCCCTCAGGAGCCAGGCAGGAAGGCACATCAAGGTCTCAGCACACTCAAACATACAAGGGCCACATCTTCTGAGAAATGGGGCCAGACACCAAGAGTGTCAGACACACCACATCACAAAACACGTTAACCCAACGTTAACAGTGCAGTAAAATGTCTTTACTGGAATTCAGAGGTAACAGTTTCTTCGGTGGACCAGTCATATTACTGAAAAGTACAAGTGACAGTGACATCAGTCTTTCCCTAGGGCCTCCTTCATGCTGTCACTCTAGTAGCTCCAGCAAGGCTGATTACTAGCCTGATTACTTCCTCCCAAGACAGTGATGTCCAACACATTAGCGATAGGACACAAGCCTCCTGGGTCATGCTCCTGTGCTGGGGTGTCATCCACCACGGGGACATTACTGGGAAGTGCATGTGCGCAGAACAGAGAAGGCTGGAGGCGTCCCAGGCTCCCCACTGCCCCTCCAGGTGTAACACCCAGGTTTCATTCGGTCTTCCCGTGGGGCCTCCAAAAGATTTCAAGGGACATTTATCACTGATAATTCTGAAACACTTTAATAAGTTAACCCCCAACAACTTCCAGTCAGCACTGAGAAGAAGAATGAGGGTGGCATCCTTGGTGGGCCTCGATTAAGACCACACTTGGCCTTCCCATAGGTATCTGGGAACGTCGGTCCTCCACAAGGAGCAGCCACCAGGGGGAGAGAAGATCTTCAGCGCCTGGCTGGGGGACGGTGAGTGCCACTCTCAGCAGCCCAAAAGCCCACCTTCTGAGAAGCCTCAGAAAACGGCGGGAAGACTCTACTCAGTGTCATAACATTCCCAACTACATGTTCAGTCCAGACAGAAAACGCTATGACCCAAATTCCCAAGTTCTCTATTCAACCAATTTACACTAAGGCAAAACCCTCCCAGGCAACCGGCTGTTTGGGCACTGAGGGCTTGGCACGCAGATGTGAGGTCTCCAGTTCAGGTGCACTCCCCAGTCCGTGGTGCCATTTTTCTTCCGGCTGTGCTGCTCAGGTCTCGAAGAGCGTGCTGAAAGCGGCTCCGACCTCTGCAATCATGTCGGTGGTGGTGGTAGAGCGGCCACGCTTCTGGAAGGCCTGGTGGTTGCACTGCCTTGTGAGGGAGCAGGCGCCCAGGGCAGCCAGCAGCAGTGGGCTAGAGCTGGGAGGAGGGAAGGGGCGCGTCAGAGGCCTCCACATGGCCAGCCTGCAGCACAAGGGGCATGGTGGGCTACATTTTATCCTTAAGAGTCCAACTTGCAATCTCAAGTCAGCCAGGCCTGAGGAGGGCTCTGCTAGCCAACAGAAGCTCAACTGCTTGCATACTAAATTCCCTGGTGGAAGGCACCTCTGAAACATGGTGGAGGCAGGTAAGAAGGGAGAGGGACTCTTCTCCCCTCAGAAGCTTGCTAGCTGTGCCTGTGGGCCTGGTTTTCCACAGTGCATACCCTGGGACAAGGAAAAAGCTAGAGCAGCCCTCTGTACCTTTGCCCTGCATAGCTGAGCAAAGCCCAAATCCACACAGATAACGCCCATTTTGGGTGTGTAGTCCCGGGTTTTCATGCACAGCTGTGGCAACATTACCATCCCAGCAGTGTCCTGCCAAGATGACAAATGGGACCTCCAGAGGCTGGCTGTCCTCCCCGCAGCATGTGCAGCCACCATGGTCACCCTTCAGACTGTCTGCTTTTTACCCTAATATTTTGGTTTACAGAGTCCACAATTGAATTCCCAGAACAGTGTCCCTAACTGTGATCGCTCAGCAGAATTACTGGGGCTGTGAAACTCAGTGCTGTCCGAGGCCCTTCTGCCCGGCCTGATGGGACTGAGGCCTAGGCCTGGGTGTACATGCAACAGTTTCCATGGACAGGGCTGACCTTTGCCCTGGTCATTCATCTGGAACCTTTCAAGGGATTAAATGTACATGCTATTCAAACAGCTAACAAAATTAATCTCAAAGTAGGACAAACGCAGACATGGCGTACCCATTTGTCTTCTCTGGCCCAGCGAGGAGCGCCCAGTGCACCATGACACCTAGGGAACCCGACAGGAGGTCTCCTTGTCCGCCACACCTGCGGCTGCTGCCTTCGTGGTTGCACGTGAGCACTACAGAGAACACGAACGAGAGATGCTGAGTGTGGACACTGGCACTGCAGTCAGCGGCCACTTGCTTGCCATCCCCAGCTCTTCCCTATTGGTTCTCACAAGGACGCGAGCTGACTTCTAGTTTCCAGAGGAAGAAAAAGGCACTTAGGCTAGGCTGCCCTAAACCACAGGGAGCAGAGACACCTACCTCAGACCACTGAGAAGGCCCCAAGAAGAGCAGCTGAACACGAGGTGATTCCTTCATGCCCAGCTTCTGGAGCCCAAGCCCACTCCCCAGGCACATGCCATGCCTGCCTCCCCAACTTGAGGTGCACCCCGACCAACACAGCAACACACTCCAAGTCAGCCTGCACAGACGCCTCTGTTAACTGCTGTAATGTTACAGGTGCCTACACTTCTGGGAATTTTCTTTCTTTGGAAAATATTTTGAAAATCCAAAGCTCTAGTGTCTATTATAATGAAGAGTTCCTTTGGTTATAAGAGCCTTGTCTCAAAGGTCTCCAGTCTTCTGAGAACACACCTTTTCTATAAATGTATGTGTGCATGTGAGTGTGCACATGTGCACACACCCACCCCATGTATCTCAGTGCTCCTTTACCCTGATTTCAAGTTCCTAATCAGCAACATTCTTGTTAACAGTTCCTTGTTAAAAGGACCTATTGTGATGATCCACTGGCCAGTGAAGAGGGGTGACTTCTACTCTCAGAGCGAAAAGTGACACGCAGGCTCTCTTGGGCGCTCACAGCAAGTCTCCACTCTGCTCTTGCTGCATAGCTCTTAGGCGCAAGAGAAGGCACCTAGGACTCCACTAATAACATCAGCTCCAAGACTTTCCTCATCTCCTCGTCATTTTAACAAGACAGCAAGAAACTCAACTATGTGGATGCCCCACTGAGAGTGAGACAGGAGGCTGGGATGCTGACCACAGCAGCACCTTCCTGCCAGCTGCTTCAGCAGGCCAGCCCAGGCACATGTCCACCCCCACAGCCATGGCCTGACCCCTCTCCTGGCTACCACATTCTCATGCAAAACAGCGAGGAGTCAAAACCAGGACTCACCCGCTGGGGCTGACTCTGAACCAGGTTCTCCAAGGCTTACCCTGTGTGCCCATGCAGAATTGCCATGCAGAGGGAAGCCCCCACTCACCCTGCTGGCCATCAGAGATCAGGTCATGCTCTCCTTTGTGGACCACTGTCACATTCCCCAGGGCCTGGCTGAGTCTCAGTACAGATCCATGGGGGTCACTGCTGTCCACAGGACCTCTGAGCTATGACATAGGAAGACAACCAGAAAACCAAGTCTTTCAAGTCTTCCCAATAGGCAAAAGGGGCCACCACATACAGATAGCTCTGTCCCATCCACCACGAGCCTCGGCTGCTTGTGTCCAAAGGAATAGCCAGGCACCTGTTCAAGGCTGACAGATACACCTATAGCAAGTCCTCCCAGCAGATGCTTAAACTACACTTGCTCTAGAACCTGTCCTTTACCTGGTCAGACCAGAAAGTTTTCAGAAATAATAGACATTTGAATCATGACAGTTAATGTTCTCAGGACACCTGCTGTGTGAAGACAGGTGTTATATCATGTGCTGCTTCATTTTGTCCTCACCCTTTGAAGCAAATGCCATCATTCCACATTTCACAGACGAGGCACTGCAGGATAGAGTGGAGCAACCTGCCAGAGTGTGCAGCAGGGGCGGCTGACCCAAGCCCACCCCACTATCATTTCCTCACTTAGAAGCACCCAGCTGCAAGAGGCATCGTGTTGCACATTAAAGTGTGAAACACATGCATGTGGGAATCCACAGAAACACAACTACTAGGCATTTGTGAGTGTGTCCCTGCAGAAATGGGCCTATAGGGACAGGCTTGGCAGAATCACACAGGCCATCCCTTCCCCTCAGCTCCTGTCCCACAGGAAGCCCCTAACTCACCACAGCTTCATAGAGCCTGCTGAACTCCACATGGTTGGGAGTAAGGACAGCCTTCTGGTACCCATGCACGAGAGCTGGCTGCTGAGCTACCAACCACAGGCCATCCTGTGTACAATAAGGATGTACTTTCACCAGGCAGGCCCTTGAGGCTCTGCACTCACTGTATGGGAAGAGGGGAGGCCACACTCACCGCATCAATAACGACAGGGATGTTTCTGGCCTTGGATGATTCCAAAATACCCTGCCCCAAAAGAAAACAGACTGATTAACAAACCAGCCACCTCTCGAGAGGAATTAAAGAAAACCAAGCAGTGCTTCAATAAAAGGTAACATCAGGTCACCAACAAACAGACACAAGATAATACATTTAATGAACCAAAGAAACAGGAGGAAAGACCCAAAGATCTGACAAGAGCCCCATAGTAAGGCAGGGAACAGAGAACTGTGAAAACAGCAGTTGGGTTCCTAGGCTAGTCCATGAAGACTCACCTGGTGTTTCCAAATTCCCAACAGGATTCAGAGATAAGAAATAAGAATCTTGGAAATGCCCCAAATCCTTAGTTATGTATTTTTTGTAATGCTTTATGTGATTTATTTACAAAGTCAACATAATCTCTACTGAAATCCCAGCTGCCAATTCTGCAAATCAACAAGCTGATGATCTTAAGGGGCACAAGGGCATGCACAGGACCCAGCAGAGATGAGAGTCCAGGATAAACCCTCACCCTTAGGCCAACTGATTTTCAACCAGGATGCCAGGCCAAGTCCAGAGAAATCGTGCTGAGGGAATAAAGCTACTGTTTTGTATGAGTCCACTCAAACACAATGTTCAGAATGGGCCATCCACTTCAACAGGTTAGCAGCTGCCAGGCACTGGGGAGGGAGTGGGGCCCAGGGGACAAATGCTAATGGGCTTGGGGTTTCCTTTTGGGGTAATGACAAGATTCTAAAACAGACTGTGGTGATAGCTGCACAACTCTATGAATTACACTAGAAACCAATGAAGTGTTCATTTTAAATGGACACATGATTATAATACTCCAATAAAAAACAGGATCAAAAAATTCAAATCCAAAGTAGTAAGAGAGACACAGAAGTATCTGCAAGAATTCTCCAGGCACCAGGCATAGTAGGGGACACATTCTTCCGAAGGGATACTATCCCTTTGAAAGAAAAATAATGAGCTATACCAACCCTCTACTATCAGTTTTAAAAACAAAATCATTCAATTCTAGTTCTCCCAGTCCCTGTCACCTGCCAGAGCTAGTTTCCCCTCAGTGACAATTCTGATAATTCATGAGTTTGAGGAACATTTCAAACCCCAACTCTCAACCTACAGGCTGGAACTGGAAGACTGGTCATGGAAGTATCTCTAAGCCCTGCTCTTGAGAAAGTCTGGTAAAGCAAATGCTCGCCTGCCTTTTTACAACTTTTTTTACCGGGCCCTGCCAGGAAAGCCCACCCAACCTAATAGCTCCTCATTCCTGCCTGCCTTGTGAACCTTTGGTCTATCTCACTTGAAAGGCAAAAGCCAAGCAGAGAACAGCCCCTCAGTGACAGCATCCCTCCCCAGTGTGTCCTCCCCCTGCAGCCACAGTGTTCAACCCTGGGACAGGGAGATGAGTCACCTCTTCAAGCCCTCTCAGCAAACGAGGCATTCAACGGAGTACTGAGGTGATGGCAATAACAGGGACACAGACCCATCCAATGTGCTGCTGATTCCAATGAACACCAAGCAGCCAGTCATGGTTGTGAGGCTCCTTCCCCAGCCTTGGCAGGGACAGCACCACTGCACACAAAGGCACAGTGGCACCCACAGGGAGGGGTCAAGACCCAAACCCAATAGTCCTGAACACACGGCTGCTTCTCCCAGGCTGCAGTGTGGGCAGGTGCCAGGCAGCTAGGACAGTCTCTTGGAGGGGAGTTCCAGAAACATGTCTGCCCAGGAGGTGGGAGTGCTCCCAGAGGAACACTGGGCAACGAAGATTCAGAAAACAAAGCTGGCATGCCGGCTCAACCTGTCTTCCTCTTCCCCAATCCCAGGTATTTATGTACGTTTCAATTTCTTAGAATAAAAAAATGCTCATTTTTTTTTTCATTGTGCTGGGGATTGAACCCAGGGCCTTGTGCATGTGAGGCAAGCACTCTACCAACTACTCCAAGAGGAGGCTGAGGAAGGCTGTACAATGCACTATTTATGCCTGAAGAACATAGGGCAAGGCTTGCACTCCAAGGTCAACAGTCTGAGGGTAGCCATGCTACAACTTACCTTGACACTGTCGAGGATGGGGCCATCTCTACCTAGGCCAGGCCCCACGACAAGGGCATGCAACCGGGGCAGCCACTTTTCCACCTCAAGAACAGCATTGGGACTGTCACTAGTAAGGAAAAGGTCAGAATGCTTTACTTAATATCTACATTTAGTTGTGTTTTAAAAAATTTTATTTTGAAAAAACAGACTGACAGAAAATTTGAAAAAACAATACAGAAATGTCTCCTTCTCCCAGCATCCCCTGAGTTAACAGTGCATACACCCACATTATCTCATCACAACTAACAAGTCAGCAGAGGCATGTTGCCAGAGGACTGTGTCAGATTCACCAACTGCCCCGGCCTGATATCCTTTCCTGTTCCAAGGGCAATCCAGATACTGCACTGCATTTAGGCATCACATCTCCTTAATCTTCACGGACTGGTTGATTTTTAGTGCCCCAATTCACGTGCATAGCTTTCAACATTTAAAATAAGTTAGGGTAAGTCATCATGACACTAGTTTTGAGATTACCCCTGCCCTTCACCAGTTTCCATCTCACACACATGAAAGCACACCATGCACCTTATACTGTCCGGCCCTATGTGAGATGTACCCCACCTCCTGGTCCTGCCCTGCTGACGCCCACTCAGGACAGACAGGGTTTGTCATCATCTCAATTCACCTTCTTGCACAGTATCCCAGCTCAGAGATTCTGAGAGCCCACTCTGTTAAGGTCCTTGTCCCCTCTGCTCCCTACAAGCTACCTATCAAGGTCACCAACAACCCTAAGGTGAGATGCAGCCATCTTTCCTAGTCTTTCTCTTAAAATGACCCTGAGAGGCACAGGCCTTCTAGAAATACCCCCAAATAGTTCTCAACTTGACTTTGGACATCCTACCCCACCGTGTTCTTTCTTTCATCCACGTTCTCTGTTCCCAGCTAGAGCCTCAGGTTTCAATCTCTGTCCACATGTGAATGACTGGCAAACCAAAGCCTTCCCTTGCCACATACTCCAATCTGACACCTATCACTCACGTCCATGTCCACTTAGATGTCTAAGGGCAACGGACAACAACTTCATCCCCACATAACCGCTACCATTTCCCCCACTATAGTCAATGAAAACTCACTCAGACATATGCTCTGAGGGCACTGGGCTGCCGGCCTTTTCCATCACATCTGCCAGCTAATCCCAGGGGGTGGGGGCCCTATTTTCCTGCATAGGGTCCCTCTGCATACTGACTGCACTGCCTATGTACTGGTAGGATCCTTACCACACCGGCCACAAGAGCCCATACCTAAAAGCAGCTGACAAGCCTCTGCTTGCCCCTTATGATGACCCCACAATTGCAGGGTTTGACCCTGAATCTCCGGTCACCCACATGAGCACTCCCTGTCATAGATGTAGGCCATTCCTAGACTGTGGAAAGGCTTCCCCAGGAATCCACGGATTTCACTAGAATGTCATTCTGTGCTGCCTCCCTATCCGTCACCTGTTGGTCCCCTGTTGGCACCAGTTGGCTCCATGGTCCTCTCACCACCTGACAGACTGATCTCACTTGTCTGACTTCAGGGAAGTGCTGCCCAATGCAGCAGGTACCAACAAACACTAATGTAACTGAAATGGAATAGAAGTAAAAATTCTGTTCCTGAGGTCCACCAGCTACATTTCAGTGCTCAGTGGCATGGTCCTGGAGAGTACAGAGAACATGGACATTGTCAAGGGAAGTTCAGGGAGCCCTGGGAGCAAATAGTCACTCAATTCACTACTAACCCACTGAACCCAGCCCAAGAAGTCCAACCATTCCAGTCACTCAGCACTCACTCCACATAAAGATAAATACAGCCAGACCACAGGACAGGCAGAAGACAATGCCTGGAAGTAAAGCCAGACATCTACTGCCACCTGGAAGCTTGCTGAATTGAGATAAGAACTTGTTACTCTCCAATGGTCCCCTTGCTTTCTGCCATAGGCAACCCTGTCCCTACAAGAGGTCCCTGGACCTTGGAACCTCCAACCACTCCTGACAGGCTAGAACACTTGCATAAAATATACTGGCACTGACAGTCACCATTTTCCCATGTTTCTCCCTTCGTGGTCTCATTGTCTGTCTTGACCTACCACAGAACTACAGGCAGATTCACTAAGGTTTTCTTATACCTGATAGCACCTATCAACCAATTCTGAGCACAGTAGGAACTTAACAGAACTCAGTGTTGGCTTAGAAATGCTCAGGGGCTGAGGACAGCTGCTGCAAGAAAGAGAATCCACCTGTCCAGACTCACAGGACTGGGTGGACGATCAGCTCCGGGCTGTAGGACTTAATCACAGGCGCCGCCTCCTTGGCACAGAAAACATGAGCCAAATCTGCGCCCTGAGAAACAAGATAAGAGCCAACTTGAGCAGGCCGCCCTCCACAGGCCCCATAAGCAGCGTCAGGCACAAGCTGCTCAGCCAATGACATGTACAACCACCCCAGTCACTTAGAACTTACTTCAAATAAAGACCAATACAACTCTGCAGTTAGACCACAACCAGATGGCCTCAGAAAAAGGCAGGCAGCAGAAGACAAGGCCTGGAGACAAAGCCAGATGACTACTGCCACCTGCAGGCAGGGCAGAGCCAAATCAGCTCAGCCACTCCACACTACCTGGGCCATGCACCTTGATCAAATGCGTGGGAAATGGCCAGTTTCAAAGGCATCGACTTTGGCTGGGCACAGTGGCACAAACTTATGACCCCAAGGACATAGGAGACTGACAGGAGGGCTGCAAGTTTTAGGCCAGTCTAGGCAACTTAGTGAGACCTCCATTTCAGAATAAAAAATAAAAAGGTAAAGCCTAGGTTCAATTCCAAGTTCTAATAAAATAATATAAAAAGCAAAGTCATCAATTTCTTACTTATTTAAAAAAGAAAAAAAAAGGCATCCCAGTATCATTCTGGTGAAGTAAAATGAGACTAAAACTAATTTTTTTAAAATGTATTTTAATTGAGTTATTTTGTTATTGTACAGGAAGTCAGGATATATTTAAAGGTGTTTCTATTACCTATAACTACTCTAAAATGTTACTGAGAATTCTATCCTAACCATTTTCTTTAATCATATTTAAATAACCCAATAAAGTAGTTTTAGGTAAACTTACCACTTTGAGAGCTGAGATTGCTGCAAAATATGGGGCTCCTGTATACCTAAAATGAAGATATTAACAGTCAAAAGAAAACAAAACAAAACAAAACTTCTGCAAGTGAGAACACACATTTAACAGTAAATAACAAATTATCAATAAAAATACAGATAATAAATATAAAAATATATAAATTATCAATTAATGACTCAGACATGGGGCACACAGCACATACCCAGCACCTAGCAAATGCTCAGTGAATAGTCACACGGGTCAGAGTCAGGAAAGCCTTATTCTTGCGTGCAACACCTCTGCACCACATGTGGAGCACACACGCTAGTTCAGGTGACTTAATCACTGACGCCACCTCTCATGGTCTCTGTGCCAAGCATGATGAGGTAGAGCTGGCTGCAGGCTTCTGCAGGACAGACGGCAGAAATGTCCACCAGCTTAGGGCAGTCAGGAGGAAACCAGGCCCCAGAGCCAGAGGACCGAGGCCCCAAAGCCAGAGGACCCCAGAGGCCAGATGGGGGTCACATGAGCACTGTGCCTGCCCAGTGCTCTCATCTTACTATCTCTGTGTTCTTACAGCAAGACACCCAGCAAATGCTCAGTGTGAGTGTGAGTGACTGTGCTTACTGTTACCTCAAGCACAGAAAGAAGACCCTTGCCTAGGGCATCAGATGAGCTATTGAAACTGGCATGTCCGTTTCAAGCAGTGAAGCAAACTGGGGACAAATGCTGCACACACTCTCCAAACATGGCCTTCTCTAAATCAGTGTCACCAGAAAGTGTCAAAAGTGCAAAAGACAGGAGAAAATAGGCAACACACACACTCACTCCACAAAGACTGGAGCCTTAGCCAAAAGAGCCCACTCCCTCGCCCACACCCACAGGAGCAGGGCAGCTGGCTACCAGTGCACCGGAGTGCAATCTGGGCTGGGGAGGAGCATGGAGCAAGCTTTACTAGTGCTTGAAATGCACTCTGACCCAGTGAAAGTTCTTGAGACTGGATCCTTCAGAAATAACCTATGGGTATGCAAGGATGTATGTGTACAGGATGTCCACAGCCACACGTTAACCAAAGATAAGCAGAAGTAGCTAGCCACTCACCAACAGGGGACCAATTAAACAAATCCTGCCCCACCCTGGCAGAGAGTACCACATAACCACTTGTCAATAAGTAGCACATGTGAATCAGCAGAGAGAGATTCCAGAAAAGAATGCAAGGTGAGAAGGCCAGATGAAAGAGCACCTACACCACGGCCCCCTTAGTAAAACAGTGCACATCTTAGCAGCCTGGTAAGGCTAACAGCGCATATGTGGTGTTTGCTATCACATGGGACACCACAGGATGCTCGCTTTACACAATGTTCTAGCATTCAGATTTCTACATGCAGACTTTACTTTTATAATCAGAACAGAGGTGTTTCTTCTTTCCAAGGTTAGTCGAATAGACATTTTCACATCAAGTAACTCTACCCTAGAGTGCCACATGACTCTGGCCTCCAGGGAGGAAGGACCCAAAGCCTATGAGGCTTAGTGGGGCTACATGGGTGGCCTCTAGTCCTGAGATCAGGAGAGGGCTATCTCCTGAACCCAGCATTCCAAGGGCAGAAGAACTGCCTTTCTGTGCCAGAGTTTTCTGGACACATCCTTCCTGGACAGACTGCCGGCCAGCTGACTCACACTGCAGAAACTGCTATCTTCCAAAGGGTGTGTGTGTATGGGAGGGGCTCATCCTGGAGTCTCCTGCTGTGAAAGACATCCTGAACTGATAAAGTCAGGAGCCAGGAGAAGGAAATGCACTACCCTAGGAAGTGGGAGGAGAAAGGGCTAACCTGAACATCATCAGCAGGACTGGGTCCAGGAGAAACAGGAATAAGATGAGGTCGAGTGGGAGCACACGGAAAAGGCAGAGCCATAGAGGAAAACTGTGAAGGAGGTGCCTAGCATGGAAGGCAGATCCAGGGACCCAACATGCACAGGAGGGGCATAAGAGAGAGGAGAGTGCAGCACCAGAAACCCAGGCAAGATGCTTCACCAGAGGGGGCTCAAGGCTCAGGCACTGCTCAGACTGATGACAACAAGTAAAACCACACAGCCAGACAGCCTGGAGAACTGTACAAACATCCAAGCAAGAAAACACCACTTAGAAATCAAAGAGAACAGGACTTGTCAGAATTCCAAGGTGCAAAATGGAAGCTAACAGAAATCTAGCTAACATCTAGATTTCAACCACCTCCTAAGGAGCTGCTGCTGCAGCTACTGCCCACCATAGCACATGACACCAGAGGATCTGCAACCACACAAGAAATCACTCTGCAGAGAGATGCCAGGGGTCAAAGTATCCCTACCCAATGACTAATCTGAGGGAAGGCAGAAGAATGAATGTGGTTCATCTCACAATACAGTTAAATTTATGGTAAGTGTTCAGGTGGGATTTCTGCGTCCAACAGTGACATAAGGTCAAAGAGGGCCATATGGGCCTGGGAGTCACGTAGATGAAGCCATGTGGTAAGAGGGGCCACATCTCCAACATTTTTCCCATGCTGCTTCCTGGGTGGAAAGGGTGGCCTCCAGCTAAACTTATTCACTGTAGTTTTGGGTTAAGAAACAAAATCTGGCTATACATTTATAATAAAATACTCCTAAATATTTGAAAATGCAGGTTGACCAAGAGATATCATATAAGTGGGAACAGAAAGCAAACTGAAACACAGCAGCCAGGATAGTATTGCTTTCACTTATACACAGGAAAGTTTGTAAAGTTTGTAAATCACAGTTGCAAAGATATATAAAAGCAGAAGATAAGAATGGCCTGGGAAAAAGGTAGGATTAAACATTATAAATGACTCCAGGAATATCTTTAAATTGCAAAGTAGGCCAAGAGCTGGCAGAGTGCCTTCACCCTGGTTATGAAAGAAAAACAGGTTTCTGACTGGTGAAGACTGGTAAACCCAGAAAACCACACAGGAAAGGGCAGCTGCAAAGTCCCACCACAAGCAAAGCCCCAACACTGACACACATCAGTGAGCAGTTCCACCAGGCTTTCTCAGACTCCCCCTTTTAACCAGGAAGCTGATCCTGAAAAACACTGCTTGTCTTATCAGACGGCATTTGGAAATGATTATGAAGCTCACACTAGACCAATGATGGCTGACAGGTGAGCAGACAGGTAAGGAGGGAGGGGCTTTTTGAACACAGCCACCACTTACTCTTGGCAGCCTCCCACTACGCCTATCCTTCCGTCTTGCCCTTTGTGCTTCTTGGCAGTGAGAGCAGGGATAATGTTTCTCACCAGCTGAAAGGTATTGTCCATGTCCTTTATTGAGTGTGCTTTATGCAGTGAAAAGGTTCTTTGTAAAACTGAAAAACAGGAGAATGACATCAGTCAGAAAGGGAGATGAATACGTGTTCATACACATAAATGACAGAGACTTAAAATATCCCATTAGCCAAAACACTTTCCAAAGCTGACAATATGTATGCTATAGATTTCTACCTAAAGGTTTCACTATTTTTTGTAGGCAAATAATGTTTAAAAAAAAAAAATTGGGCTGGGGTTGTGGCTCAGCAGCAGAATGCTCGCCTACCAGGCATGAGGCCCTGGGTTCAATCCTCAGCACTACATATAAGTAAATAAAGGTATTGTGTCCACCTACAACTAAAAAAATAAAAAAAAAAAAAATCACAGCAGGACTGGGGTTGTGACTCAGTGGTACAGAGCTTGCCTCACATGTGCAAGGCCCTGGGTTCGATCCTTAGCACCACATATAAATAAATAAAGTGAAGGTATTGTGTCCAACTAAAACTAAAGAATAAATAACTATTTTTTTAAAAAATCACAACAAGCTGTATATGTCAAGTTTATATTTGAATTGTATCAGACATTCTACTTAATCTTCTAGAAAGTTTTATCAACTTAAAAACTGATACACTCAAAAGTTTGAGTCCTCCTGTTTTCCTTAATTGTATTTTGACACTCATTTGGATACTAATTAAATAACCTAGAAATGGAATTCTAAATATAGCATATATCTTAAACTGGGTTCAAAGTAGCATATTAGAATAATTTCATCACTTCGAATTGTCTCCTAATAGTTACATTTCAATTGGCTTTCTTGTAAGCTTCTAGCAGTTGTACATTTTGCCTTGATATTCAAGACACCTCAGCCTTGAGAGGTTGATCCACTCTGTGGCACACAGTGCATGAATAGATAATAAGGCACACATCTTTCTAGACCTAAAGGATCTTTGCAAATATGAACAACAGTTTCTCAAACAAGGCACTTATTGTTTTCATCCTTCTAATTATTCCCACAGCTGACAAAAACCAACGTTTCACAAGTTCCACTGAAGACTAAAAGCTGACCCAGTTCCTCACAGATAAACAGCTTTGTTTTACTTTTCACTCAACAAACATTCAAGTATTTTCTTTAACAAGCAGATGCAAATGCCTCAGCTGATGTGTCAGATGTTCAGACCCCAAGATGAAAAGGCGTTAGTTAATATCAACCCACCTCCCTTTCATCAACATCTAAACCAAAGCAGAATGAAGACAAACTCAGATCCAGGGAACCTCCTGCCAGGGAAAAGTCCTGCTAGGCTCATCTCAGGGCTGCTCCCAGAGCCTGTCATCATGAGCTACCTTCTGCTCCTGGTGACATGGCTGCAATCCCGGCTCAAACCCAGATGTCGGCCAGGCCACAGAAGCACTGGGCCAAATCTTTCTCTCCACTGAATTCATTCCTGTGTGTCCTCAGTCACCCAAGTTTGCACTGTTTTTTCACCATGCAAAGACTAAGCAGCAAAAAAGCTCTCTCCTGGTGCTCCCTTTGATGAGCTGCATGCAAAGATTGGGAGGTGCTAGATGAGATCTAAGCACAATGTATGAATGTTGATGAACAATCTATGCAGTAATGAACACGCCTAACAGGGGCCTGTTCCACACCTTACCACACCGGGAACTGTAACATCATGACTGACCGATACAAGAATTCAGATAATGTCCACTGAACAAGAAATACAGACGCTTTTTCAAGTCTAGGAACTGTAAAAATAGAATTCAGTCACTCAAGGACTGTTCTATGCTCCCTACAACATTTCAGGTCTTTGTAAACATGGCTTTATACAAAGCACTCAGCCACATGGAAAATATCCCCATGGCCAAGTGGATTTCCTCATGTTGTATGGATGCCAGACATGCTGGTTTCAAGTTCTGTTTCCAAACTAGCATGTCAATAACTCCTTCCAATGGTTACTGAGCTATTACTTTATATTAGTCACTCATCATAATAACTACTATAACTGAGTGGATACCACGTCTAGTGTTTATAACATTTAGGAACTTTAACATTTAGCAAGGAAAGACAGTTTGGGGAAATGATAATCATTTTTACTGTTCATCACTAAATAAAAAGAAATATACTCCGTGTATACCAGACCTCAAAGGCATAATCTTCTATCAATTTACTTCCCCTAATCTGTCTAAAGAAGGACATTTTTTTTTAATATTTATTTTTTAGTTTTCAGGGGACACAACATCTTAGTTTGTATGTGGTGCTGAGGATCGAACCCGGGCCGCACGCCAGGCATGCCAGGAGAGTGTACTACCGCTTGAGCCACATCCCCAGCCCAAGAAGGACATTTTAAAAGATAGAAATGGTGCCAGGCACAGTGGCACACACCCTGTCTGTAATACTCCCAGCCTGGGCAACTTCGTGAGACCCTTTCTCAAAAATTTTTTAAAAAGGGCTAAGGGTGGTAGAGCACCCCTAGGTTCAACCTCAAGTAAAAAGGCAGAAATACATGAGTCAATACACCAACTGCCCTGCAGTGTTTTTCACAGCACATAACAATGAAGCTCTCAGCCCACGGGTGCTGTGGAAGGAGACTTGCTGGCCCCAGCGGTGCTTGCAGAAGCACTTCAGTAAAACCTCTGGGACTAAAAACAGCAAAACATGCCAAGTAAAACTTCATTCAACAAGTGTAAAACTTTTTTGTGCGTGCAGTTTTGTTGTTTTCAAGTGTCCACACTTTTGGGGCTGGGATGTGGCTCAAGCTGTAGAGCGCTTGCCTGGCATGCGTGTGGCCCAGGTTCGATCCTCAGCACCACATGCAAATAAAGATGTTCTGTCTGCCGCAAACTGAAAAATAAATATTAAAAAAAAAAAGTGTCCACACTTGCACACTGTCACATACCTCAGCACAAGTGTGCTAGCCCAACACCTCAGCACAAGTGGGCTAGCCCAACACGATTCTGATTTTTTTTTTTTTTTTGATATTGGGTGTTGAACTCAGGGGCATTCAACCACTGAGCCACATCCCTAGCCCCGTTTTGTATTTTATTTAGAGACAGGGTCCCCCTGAGTTGCTGATGCTGGCTTTGAACTCATGATCCTCCTGCTTCAGCTTCCCGAGTCACTAGAATTATAGGCCATGTGCCACCACACTCGGCTCCACCATTCTGATTCTTGTGGCTGAGAAAGGGGAGATGTGCTAGGCTGAGTGCCCACATGCTTAAACTCTACAAATTTAAAGGCAAATAGTAATTTTTGTTGTTAATCAAATAATGATGAGTGCTCATCCTTCTCCCTCCACTTCAAGATAAGCTTCATTAAGATACCAAGAAACCCAACAAGTTGTTTGCTTGGTTTTTGGTACAAGCCAAGGCACACAACCAACCCACCAATGCAAAATTCATCTCTCAAAAATGCTGTCATATAACCAGGCATAGTGGTGCATGCCTATAATCCCAAGACCTTGGGAGGCTGAGGCAGGAGGATTGAGAGTTCAATACCAGCCTCAGCTACTTAGCGAGGCACTTAGCAACTAACTCAGTGAGACCTTGTCTCTAAATAAAATATAAAAAAGGGCCAAGGATGTGGCTCAGTGGTTAAGCACCCCTAGGTACAGAAAAAAAAAAAAAGCTGAAGGCAAACCAAATTTTTCTTTAGCAAAATTATTCACTTCACTATCCAAAAGTCAAATGTCTATCAAATGCACTCTAAATACCTTTTTGAAGAAAAATAAAAAGGGCTGGGGATGTGGCTCAATAGTTGAGCAGTCTTAGGTTTAGGTTTAATCCCTGAACAAAAGGGGAAAAAAAAAGATCAAAGGAAAGTCAGTTAAATGTCCCAACACTCAGAGTGCATCAAATTTCAGTTGGCTTACTGTCACACACCACTTGGATTTATCCATGTAATTATTTTAATATAAACAACAAAGTAATGAAGGATAAAAGGCCTTGCCAAGAGCACATTTAAAATGCAATGATACTTATATAAGTCAATTTGGCTTCCTAACAAACCAGGCTGGAAAACCTGGTCAAATCTGTTTGGGTTTCGTTGGTTTTAAAGAAGGGTGTCTTCTCTGTACCAAAAGCGCTTTAAGTGAACGTAAATTAGAAGCATGTGTCAGCATTCCTTAACTGAGTCAAGACACATCCTAACATCTGGATGGCGTTGAAGTTTTAAAGCCAAGAATCATTTTTTCAAAAAGTTCACGAAAATTCAATAATGAAACTTAAAATAAATGTATAGAAAAACCCTGCAAACTAATCATAAAGTATCTAAATTCAAGGCAAACAACTACCAACAGAGAGGGGAAAAAAAAAAGTCTCTAAAGCGGCCCCAGAAGGCACCCTGGTGGTGTAAACTAAGGGGCCCCCTCAGTGCACTCAGAACTAGTCAGCTGAGGGCTGGGGTTGTGGAGCGAGGCCCTGGGTTCGATCCTCAGCACCACATAAAAATAAACGAAATAAAGGTGTCGCGTCCACCTACAACTAAGCAAAAAAGAACTAGTCAGGGGGCTGGGGCTGGGCGGTAGAGAGCTTGCCTAGCAAGGGTGAGTCTCAGCACCGCACATAAACAAAAAGGTCTACCGACAATTTTTAAAAATTGGAAAAAAAAAAAAAAAGGACTAGTGAGCAGACAACCCAGCGCCAGATCCCGTGGCGCTGACCGCGCCAACTCCCACAGCAGGGGCCAGCGAGGGAGACGGCTCCCAGCGCAGAGGACACCCACGCGACCTGCGACCTAAGCCCTCCTTCCCGCCGGCCCTGGGGAGGTGCAGGGCCCCGGGGCCTCCCGCGCCAGCCCCCCGCGCGCGCACGCCCAGGCTGGCAGAGGTGCCGGGACCCGCAGCGGCTCCAAAGGCGCCCGTCTGCGCCGCCCCGCCGGGGCTGACGAGCGAATCCCGGCCGGAGACTGCGGACAGACGGTCGCCCAGGACGCCCCGCGCTCCGCGCCGCCCGCCCGCAGAAGCAGCCCGCGGTCGGGTACCTGCGTCCAGAGGCCCGTACAGCGCCACCGCGGCCGACAGAAGTGCCACCGCGGCCACACCAGCGACCGCAACCCCGGGGCCCGTGCGAGTGGTCATCCCCGGGCGGGCGGAGACGGAGCTTACCTCGCCCGCAGAGCTGCACTACCGCACACTGAGGACCCATAGCCCAATCTCGGCCTTCCGGATACCCGGCGGCCTCCGCGCCAAGGCCGGAACCGCAGCCATCCTTTCCTCAGGCTCCCGGCAAGCCCCGCACTGCGGCCCCGGCGCTCCTTCCGGGTTCTGAGCGGCTCCCTTGGCGCTCTTTCCGGTATCCCATCCGCCACCGCACCGCGGTCAGATCCCCAGCCATTGGCGACGCTCCTTCCGGTTCCCAGCAGCCCCAGAGCCGCCGCCGGAAACGGAATCCCACCAACTCGCCAAGGTCCAGATGTCGCTCCTCCCCTGGACCACTTCCACCAATCACGCCGGGCTTCGGACGATTGACAAGCCCAATGCCCAACCCGCCTGGCCCAGCTAGGGAGGCTAAGCGAATCGGGATGAGTCTTAAAGATTTGGGGCCTGTTTTAATTTTAATTGGTCGCTTTGGGCCAAGGAAGTTACAGAAGGTGGTTGATTGAGACGACCCCCCGGTGGGCGAGCTGGCTGCCCAGACACCTGTCAGGTTGTCACTGGGCTGATCAGAAAGCGGGTGGAGGGCGTGCCCGTGCCTTTCCTTTCTTATTGGGCCTGAGGTAAAGCAAACTGCTGCCCCACCCCGACCCGAGCCCGCTGCCCGCCTCGTCCGCGTCTCAGCAGGTGGCCGCTCCACGGCTCCCCGCGCTCAAGCCAGCCCCCCTGGAAGGGTGTCACGGAGCGCAAGGGCGGGTTGTCCAGCGAGTCGCAGGAGTGGGATCCCCGGACACGGGGTGTGAAGCAGCAAAGTGACGGGGTTTATTGGAGTACAAGAAAGCAGAGCTCCCGAGAGGGTAGGGCCCCTAGACAGGACTGCCCGCGGGTCCTTGTCGGGGGTTCTATTCGTTACTGATGAGGAAAACCCTTCTGGCGCAATTGAAGGTGTAAGATGCTGATTTCTTATTCCCATATGGATTGGTTTAATGTCTTTGCTCACCCCAGTTTGTCCTGAACTTGTTCCTTAAAACAAAAGAACTGCTTGAGATAAAGACAGCTCTTTGAGGTGGACTAATGTGAGGGTCGTCAGGAAATCTGCGGTCACAATAGAGTGTTGCGTGACTAGGACTTTCCAGTCAGGAAGCCAAAAATAAATAAATAAAAACCACCCTATAGAGTTTCAGTCTGGGATGGTGGGACCCCCTTCGAGGTCTCCATTTCAATCTTTCTCCTACTGCGAAGGTATTCTGACTTCTCATTCTCACCCTTGTCCCCTCCTGTTGTTGCCTGTCTCATACTTCTACTGTCATCTTATGAGAAGACACCATCACATGATGGCAGTAGCCTGAATTAGCTTCCTGGGACTGTCATGTCAAAGTGCTACAAACTGAGTGGCATAAACAACCAAAGTTTATTTTTCTAAAATCTGGAGACCACAATTCTAAAATCAAGGTTTTGCATAATGATGCTCTATCTACAGACTCCAGGGGAGGAAACTATGCCTTTTCTAACTTCCCATGGTGGTGGTCAACTCTTGACATTCCTTGCAGTGAAACTACATCTCTCTAGTCTATTTCTGTCATTATGTGACAATCTCCTTATGTGTCTCTGTCCTCCCATTGTGTTTTTCCTTTCTTGTAAGGATACCAGTCCTGTTGCATTTGGGCACACCCTAATGACCTCATCTTAATTTCATCATCCACAAAGATTCCTCCAGCCAAATAAGGCTATATTCATAAAAATACTAGAGGTTAAGATTTCAACATCTTTTGGGGGAAGGCACAATTCAGCCCATAACACCTGCTACATTCCCTCCCTGATGCCCTACAGTGACAGATGATATTTTTTGTTTTGTTTGTGATGCTGGGGATGGAACCCAGGGCCTTTCACATGCTTAGTAGGCATTTCTACCCTAGCTCTATAATCCTTCCTAAAAGATCATGTCAGTCCTCTGCACAGAATCCTCAATTTCCTGTGTCACTCAGTAAAATCCAAAGTTAGTTTGCTTCCAACCTCTATATGATTGTCACTCCCAATCTCCTGCCATTATCCTTCTCACAACTGAAAGGAAAGCGAGGAACCAGGAGAAGGGCGAGCAAGAAATGAAAGAAGGAGACCAGTCAGAGACACGAGACCAGTCAGAGCTGACAAATAAAAACCATCTTTCCATAGATGGAGAGAGGCAACATAGGCTTGGGGTTCAAGACTTTTATGGGGGAGGTTTGGGGATTAGAGCTCGGTGAGTCCTAATGTGGGCAGTGAAGGATTGGGTTGGTATGAGGGAGCAGTGAGCCTTTCTCAGAAAGGACCTTGGGGGTGGGAAAGCAAAACTTTTTTCTTAAAATGGCGGCCATCACTTAAGATGGCTGTCTGTTAGACCAGGATGCAAGAAAAGACCACTGACTCCAATTAAAATCAAAGCAAGCTTATTATTTTGACCGGCCGGGCTGCCTCTCCCTCCCAAAACGGCGGAAACAAGACAGCCCCGAAGCTTCTTTGTGGCTCAGTTTTATAGCCCAAAAAGTTACACAAAGGGGGATTACAGATAACAACACTCTGAGGAGCATAACATAAGTTTACATTTTTGCTGGCCCCGGCATCAGAATTTATGGAGATCTTAGAGACTCAGAGAGGGTCGTTATCCGGTCAGGGAAGGCCAGAATTTATGAGGCGTCACTAAGGTTTAGGAAAGGGTTGTTATCTGGTCAGGGAAAACCGGACATGTGTGAGTTCAGGGCACGGGCAGGCATTCCAAGTAGGTTCAGAATTTGCAGTAATTTATAGTAAAGCCGAAATTATCTTTTCATAGTTTTATGTCGAGATGCCCAATTTTAAGAAAAGATCAGGTTGGGTCTATCAGTCCAGGTGCTAAACAAGGAACTTCTAGTTTGGCCCAATGGAAAAGCTTTATTTATACTCAGTGTCTTAATCTACTCCTGTTACTATAACAGAATGCCTGAGACTGGATGATTTTAAAGAACAGAAACTTATTTCTTGCAGTTCTGGAGGCTAAAAATCCAAGATTGAGGCACCACTAGGTTTTGTTTCTGCTACCAGGATGATGCTGTGCTCCTGTGTCCTCTGGAGGAGAGGAACCACTGTTATGCTCGAATTTGGGACTCCCAAAAGACCACCAGAGATCAAGATCAATGTAAACAGCAAAGAGGTTTTATTGCGAGCTAGCTCGGTCCTCCGCGTGCACACACAGCAACTGGTGACGCTGAGAGGCCCCAGCCCAGGGTTTGCAGCAGTTTTATACATTCTTTGGAGAAGGCAGGGACCCCCCCACATACATCATAGCATCTCTTAGCAAATCATTACACACCACGGGAAAATCAAATAACAACTCTAAAACATGATTAGCACATTCACTGGCAGGAACAAGTTGGGTAGGGGTGATTGGTTACTACAAGAGGGGGATTCGTTTTAACTGATAGGTTTAAGCCAGAAGGGGTGTTCGTGCTGAACTACATGGTTTCCCAACACATTATGAACCACCATAAACTACTGGGAGGGTCATCTGGCATCCCAGGTATTTCCCTGTCTCATGCTGATTGGTGGCTGCTAGGGGGTTGCTATGGGTCCCCACCTAGCCTGACTGAGTCAGGGACACCTGGCGCAGCACATCTCTCCTGTTATTTGTAGATAAACAACTTAGCAGGGTGGGAATGTGCCTAGGAGTGCTTTGTGGGTCTTTCCAAGGACAAAGGTGATGTCCCTTCCTTGGACAGGCTTTGCTCTGATGTAGGGCCTGGTTTTTCACCACCATGTCCTCAAACAGCAGAAGAGATGGTGGGGAAACGGTGAGATCAGTCTTTGCAGCCTCCTTTATAAGGGCACTAACCCTACTGAGCCTCCAGGACTTAGCTGCCTGCTATAGGCCCCGCCTCTTAATTTTGTCACTATGTTAAGTTCAAGGTCTGAGCTTGGTGGGGCACATTCAGGCCTTAGCATCATATGACCACTACCATATCTGTGATTTAGAACATTTCCAGTTAAGCTCAAAAAACATTTTTGATGCTATTGTATTATTTTTAATTTTTAATTATTCATTGCTAATATATGGGAATAACATTGATTTTTATATATTGACATTGTATCCTTTGACTATTCTTAAATTACATTCTCTCTAGCAGAGTTTTTAGATTACTTGGATTTTCTATGCAAATGTTTGTGACATCTACACATAAGATGATCTATCTTTCAATGTGTATGCCTTTTTTCTTTTTCTTGAATTATTGAGCTGACTAGGACCTGAAGCACAGTATTAATAGTAAATTGTGGGACTTGCCAATCTTGCATTTCAAAGCAAAATCCAGTTGGTCATAACATAGTATGTGTGTGTGTGTGTGTGTGTGTGTGTGTGTGTGTGTGTGTTATTGATTCAGTTTGGTAAAGCGGTAAGTTTTTTAAATTAATTATTCATTTACTTATTTACTTTTGGCACTGGGGATTACACTCAGGGGCATTCAACCACTGAGCCACATCCCAGCCCTTTTTTGTATTTTATTTAAAGACAGGGTCTCACTGAGTTGCTTAGTGCCTCATTGCTGAGGCTGGCTTTGAACTCATGATTGTCCTGCCTCAGCTTCCCAAGCCACTGGGATTACAGGCTTACTCCACCGTGCCCGGCTGCATTAAGAGTTTTTTTTGTCTATGTTCACGAGTGACATTTGTCTGCTTGTTTTCTTTTTCTTTTCCCTCCCTCCCTTTCTTTCTTTCTTTCTCCCCCCCCCCACTGCTGGGTGTTAAACAGGGCCTTGCGCTTGCTAAATAAGCTCTCCATCCTATATTTTTTCTTATAATGTCTTTTTGTGGTTTTAATAACACATAATGACTGCTCTTATGAATAAAAACTTGGAACATTCCTCCTTTTTCTTTACCTAGGTCAGTTTGTGTAGAATGGGAGTTATTTTTCTCCCAAAATGTTTGGGAACATTTTAGGAAAATAAAATCATCTGGGTGTGAAATTTTCTTTCTGGGAAGATTTTAAACTATGAATTATTAATTATTTCTTTTCTTTCTTCTTTTCCTGGGATTGAACCCAGAGGTGCTTAACCACTGAGCTATCCCTAACCCTTTTTATTTTTTATTTTGAGACAGGATCTCACTGAGGCTGGCCTTAAACTTTGAAGCCTCCTGCCTCAGCCCCTAGAGTCTTTGGGATTATGGGTGTGTGCCACCTTCCCAGCTCTATTTCTTAAATAATTGTG